CCCCCAGAAGAGCGGAGTCACCCAGGATATAGAATATTTTCTCCTGACGCAGTGGCTCTTTGCCCTGACGCTGCTCCTCCATCCCCTCTATGGGGATACCCAGCCCAGGCAGAGGCAGAGCAAAGAAACCATTTCAACCAACTGGAACGAGACATTAACATTCCTACCGAGGCAGTATGGACTCAAGAGAAAGGGACAGACCAAAGAATAGATGCCAAGAGAGAGAAATGTGGCATAAAACATCTCTAACGCGGCTCTTTTACATTTATAGGATGAGTGTCCCTCTGGGTCTTATATTGTTTAAAGGGTTGTTTACCCAAATTACTATAAAAAACTCAACTTTTCTCACCCCCAGTGGTACCAAATAGATTTGGTATTATGAGTACAGCTTTGAGATAACTATTTTTGAGATTTCTGTCATCAAAATACAATGGAAGTAAATTGAATTAGAGATAATAATAAAAAAACATGTTACAAACAAACAACATGTTACGGTTACTCTGGACAATTCACAGACCTGACTGTGGACAGTTTGTATTGGAACTGCGTCCTACCAGAGAATTGTTCTTATGAAACCCTTTGACAGTGTGTTCTGTGTGACTATCCAGAGTTACGTGGAAATTATTATTTTGCCAGTGTAGTCACTGGCAAAATAATAAGTTGCAATACTTGTACATCATTTTCAATAGTGGCAGCTCCAAAATCACCAACACTTCACATATATGTTTTCTCTTTATACATATATTTATTTAATATGAGTAGAAACAGAAAACAGACATTAGGGCTTAGCAAGCAGCCAGCCTAGGGTTTGCAGGGATTTACTGTCCATCAACGGCTAGCTCCTTCGCTGTCTTTGTTTGGTCTGTCTCTTATTAAGTTGTTCTAATTTGTAATTTATTTTTCACTTATTGTTTTACTCATTTATTTTTTTCGTGTGTGTGTAAAGCACTGTGTAACTGTGTATTTTAAAAAGTGCTATATAAATGAAGTTTTACTTGCTTGCTTAACATTAGCCTGGGTTGCTGAACACACCATACAGGGAGCAGTCCTCAGCACCCTCTGAACCAAACTCATGTGATTCTTGAGTGTAGGCTTACTGGCAGTTAGTTAGCCGGCTAAGACGACACAGTTGGTGTAGAAATAAGAAAACTTTGGAGTTATAAAGCATATTTCTCAGCTTTTGGCTGAAGCTTGCTGCCTCCCCGCACAGGCCCATGGTTATAGATTTATGAAATTGGGATACTCCAATATATGTGGTTGTAGCATTAAGCATTTGCAGCCATCAGTCATGATTACCATCTCTTCTTTCAAGTATAAAATAATAAAATGAGTGATCTCCGTTGTAGGATTTCAGGACATAAAGCAGCGGCAGCAGCAGGACAGTTTCAGGAATATGAGGAAAAAAGTCCATTTTGCATGAACATATAGCATACCTACCAAAGGGGGTTCACCTTTCCTTCATTTCTACTTATAGAAAAAAAAAAAAAAACATCACCCGTGACTTATCGAGCAAAAACAAGCCAAGGTTGGACGCAAGTCTGTTTTATTAACCGGATGACATTGAGTTTATTAAACTGGCTGAGAGGCTCCTTCTGCTGCCAGACGAGAGGGAGCTTGGCCTGGGTCCGAGACCAACTTGGGAGAGCCAGCCCAATTAACACCCGAGAGGGAGGTCCTTGCAAACACATGCACATACACTTTCTGAGCACACGCATGGGCCTACACGTAAACACACTGTGCATGCTAACACACAGGGCATAGGCTACAGGGAGGTCTGGAGGGGCAGCAGCAGGCAAATAAACCCTCAGGGACCTGGTAGCTCATAGCTAAGAAGTCATGCACGTGCACACTTACACACACACTCTCACATGTAGGGTGGCCCTAGCTTGCCATATAAATCTCTGCCACTCACCTTCAAATGAAGTGGTGCGGTGGGCCCAGTAAATATGAGGGAGTGTGTGTGTGTTTGACCACAGATGCAGGTGGAGCTGTGGTGTGGTTGGGCAGACAGTGAGCGTCGTTCCAGGTCCAGCCCTGGCAGTGCCACTCAAACACTACAACCTCACGGCGGTTATGAGCCGCGGTGAGAGGTTATGTGAAAGTGTGCCTTTGTTGCTGAATTTGCTCAGCGAATGAACTTCAGTACCTGCAGAGCTACAGCAGCAGTTGTTGTACAAGTAATTCTTTTTTTGCAACAGGGAATTACTGTTTCAACTTCCAAAGAGAATTGGTTGAAAAAAACAAACAAGAAACTCAAAAAAAAAAAAAAAAAAAAAGCATCTTGGTGGCTGGCACACATAAGAGTTCAATTTCTACGTTTCTGCTTTATGATATTTAATCACGAATGGATTGCAGCAGTGCTGGGCCAGTGTAGGAAAGATGCATGATGAAAGACTCAGTGCCTACCACTGTGTGTCAATGCTTTATTGAAACAGCATGGGCTTTGTCAAAACAACTACTTCTGGTAAAATAACACATAATTTGCAAAGCTGGATTCCAGAAAACCCTAATACAATACATTACAAATACAATCAACCCTTTCCTCATCTTGTGGGTGCCTGAATGCGCACATGCATGTGTGTGTCTGGCTAACCCCAGCCGAGCAGTCACAACCCGCTCCATTGAGACCCATGACCAAATCTTTTTTTTAGACTCAAACCTTCCACCAACATATATGCTTAGTGTTGTCACAGTAGAGACTCACTTGGGAATGCCTAGTCTGCGTGGGACAGGCATAGCTGTGGACGCCTGGCCCCTTCGGAGTTGACACTCCTGGCTGGGATCCCTGGCATCCACAGCTTCCTGATTACCAGCTGTCCCTGCCCCACTCTGCCTGTCAAATCCCAGTAACTGAGAAATAAACAAACAGTAAACAAAGGGCCTAGTTTAGCACCACCGCCCGCCACAGCATGACAACAGGTTTGTCACTCTCGCTGCCTGCCAAGGCTAACTGAGCCTTGCACTCTGGAGAGGAGTAAGAAGGCTTTTCTTCATCTTCCAACCACTGGAGGAGGAGCTGCAATCAGTGACAGCGGTTTGTCTATGCTGCCTCAAGACAAACAGCATCAGCCAAACCAAGAATAAAGACACGCAGACTGAAACAACCTAATAGCGTGTCTTTTTTGTTCTTAGATTGGGCAGAAACTCCTTGCAGCTCTGCTAAGGATGAATGCTTTGTGTCTGATGCCACCCCCCCCACTCTCTTATTGTCTCAATCTGTGGACATCTGCTCACTACAGAGACAAATTCCCCTAACTTGAGACACACTAGCCACCAAGAGGAGAACACAGGCCTATTAATAGGCTTCCTGCTCATAAAAGAGATGTGGCAGATCAGGTTTTTTGGGGAGAGTTTGATATGCATGTAATACAATATTAGTTCAATTGTGATGCACCGTCAGAGGCCCCCTCTATGGAAATCTGCATGAAATCACTGTCTGGGCAAGGTCGTAAATCACCAATGGCGTTGTTTATTATTGCAGTACAGTTTTATGGAGGGCGGGCGCTTTGCTGGGACGTCCTGGAGAGGAATGCCCAACAGAGGACCTGCTAGGTAATGGCCCCTTTATTTCCACAAGGGGGTTGATGGGAGTTCAGTGAAGATCAGGCCTCTCGAGAATTACATGGTTACTGTAAAGGCTGATTAAAGCACAGGAACACCTATATCTAACAAAAGCAACCACATGACATGTTCACAGAGCCGCCGCCGGATCTACAAACACATCAAAGGATGATAAATCTCACAGAAAATCAAAGTTCTGGTAGAGGATTGTAAAGTCAGGTAGATGACACAGGCCAAACAGACACAATCTAGCTCTTATTTTTATTCCCCTCCGTTTCGTACGAGCAGCCAGAGCGGCTGGCCGACATGCCACAACACCCACTTTTTCTTTCACAAAATGTCTGGTCTGGTTGTGTCTGAGTTTTTCTGCCAGGTCCCTGAGCATCGGGAAAACTTATCAAAGAGAACAAACGTCTATTCTGTGCTGCAGAGAGAGAAAGAGAGAGAGAGAGAGCAGCACTCCTCTCGTATATAGACAGTCAGTCAGGACCTCAGACACTACTTAGTCTTTCAGCTGTTCGGAAGTGGGAAAAGCACATTAGGGGTCATTGTGCTGGTGCATTCCGGTGGTAGCAGCCCGACTTGCTTTGTCCAGCCTGGCAGACGTACATGCCTCACCCCTGGCCATCACTCCCACTCCATCTGAAAACATAATTGATCTGGATATTAAAAGGGCCGTGCGGCTCTAAATAAAATTCCATGCATGCTTAATTCTCCAACGTGGTTTTGGAGGCCGGACACTTTCTTCCCTGTCCGGGCTAGTGTTACACGCTGGACCGTCTTAGCTGTGACCACCTCATAAAATCAGGCTCATAAATATTTTTCATGTGTTATTTAAACTAACCCAGCGTTCTATGACTTGGAGTAGTTTGATATATGTTAATTATGCATGGAGGGCTCCTGGAGACATATAGGGAATAGGGATACAACTATTACAAATATTGGGCTGAGCATTGGCTTGGCTTCAGGAGCCTCAAGAATGTAGGATGCACGTTATACATTGTCTCAGATAAGATGAAAAATATTGAATTAATAGAAATACAACCACACAATATATGGTCTCTGCATTATTTTTAAAAGTCACACGTAAAAAGAATTTCATAGCAGCTATTGTACAGATTTAAAGGATGTGATTAGCATTTGGGTATGTGATGTTTGGTCTAAACTTGCACCAGCTCTAGTTTCTATTTGCTTCCTGGTAGGATTAGTGGCTGATGCCTGTGACAACAGTGTCAGTCTCTGGACACTGGGGGCACATAGTAATGTTATTCCAGAAATATTAACACACAGTGGAAAGTATTTAAAGAAAATATGGCCTTAAAAAAAAGTTCAATCAGGCCTTGGAAATTTTGTCCGCAGAGAAAAAGGATTTAAATGTCAGTGTTAAATTGTATTTTGCACCTACTGTAGCTGATTAAACAAAATCAATGTGCAACGTGTAACAGTTCACAAATCAGTTTTATTAATTTAAACACAATCAAATAATAATGTCAAAAACATCTGTACACATATTTTGCAGACACAACAATCTTTTGCGTTTCACAATGAGGCCCATGTAGTGTAAAGTATTTCCAGTTTGCATTTATGATTGCAACATAATAAAAAAAAAAGCGTGCTGTATGAATCTATAAAACATTTCCTCTATTTACCTACCATTACCTTGATCTAGCAGCAATATGTAGATACCCCAAGAGCGTGGGGGAAGAAGTTGTTTTGAGAAGATGGGGGTTGGAGGGAGGTGTGTGTGTGTGGAGGGGGGGTCGGGACGGGGCGGGGTATCCAAATTGAAATGTAAAGGCCAACAGTGATCATGTGCAAAGGAGGGAAAAATCAGAGACGCAACGAATCAGTCTCTGTTTAAGAAATTCACAGTCGATAGCACATGTCCTGTATGTTCACAAACCCCTCGAAGTTAGTGGCTTTTTCTTTAAACGTTAATTATGGTTTCCCCATCCACAGATGTAGAAGCATTATGAAAAGGGCTTCACGTGTTTCAACAATTTCCAAAGAGGGACACAGAATGTATTTTCAAAGTTGAAATAAAAACACTACATCATACAAAATTACGCTTGCTGTACAAGAGTTGTTATAGCGCTTGTATAAAAGATAATAAAACCTATTCAAGCCTGCTTCTTTTTTTTTTTTTAAATCTCAGATTTATTCAAATTTGTTTCATAAAATGGCTCTCAGGAGTTCGCTCACTTCCATGCCATATCCGAAAACCCTCATCAGGATTAAGTTTGCTTCCAAATATATGGGGTCAGGGCTGCAAGCTGGTGAAATGCTGTAAGGACACAAGTTGTGAGCTACCTTTCTGAATAACTAAAAAAAACAAAAACAACAAATGCCTCTTTCCCTTTAAAATCTAAAAAGGACTTGCAGTAGAGGAGACCTGTTATGCTGTATAAAGATGTGACTGAAGTTTCCTGTAAGGACGAGAAACATCACAGAATCAAATGAAAGGTCATTGACACTTGACATCCATGCTTTTGGTCTTGACAAAACGATTTATCACAAAATCCCATTATCTACATATTTGTTTACTGAACAAAACTTGAACACATCAACACTTTGAGGCGCCGCACAAGCTTATGTGCGATGGGATGCCTTTTATTATTATTTTTTTTACTTCAATGAAAAAGCATTGCCACCTTTCAAGAGCACGTACCTAAATGAATATAGGAAGGAATAGTCCAGTGATTACAAACTTACACACACAAAAAAAGATCCTCTATACACGATTGTCTCAGCATTGTAAATAAAGTTTTTTGTTTATTTTCTTAAATTATTAGAAAACCCCATTTTCTTGTTTCTTCCATAAACGTCTTCCTCTCGCTGTGGTGGAAATCAATAGTACTTTGTAAAAGGCACGAGTCTTTTGTCATTGAGGTACCTTCTCAGTGGCACGGTGCCACTCACAAAGTCTCCGTCCATAAATAAGAAGCACAGGACTCCCAGGCCGACAGTTAACAGAGGAGCAGTCGCTTTGTCTGTCCGTCCCATGATGGGGGAGAGACTAAAAAGTAGGTAGACGGATAAAGAACAGACAGAGACGGGAGGTGAAGAGCAAAGGGAAGAGCTAGAGGGACGGAGAAATGTCACCACCAGTAGTCGTGGGCCTGTAGGTTAACTGTAGCCGAGTTCTGTGGCGAGGTGAGGCGAGGCAGGCGAGGCCATCAGTAGCTCTGCTCCCCTCACAGGTGTGAACCCTGACAGAGTCCCGGCAACAAACAGGGGGCCGTAAAACACTTTGACAGCTTCAGAAAGCAGCCAATTCACAGTAACCAGGGCAAGCAGCTGCAGCGCCATAAATTCACCTCTCTCCTTCGCTTCCAAAAAAAAAAAAAAAAACAACACAAAAAAAAAGTTTAGGGTTAAGACGAAGTGTGACCGTATGTCAGCACATTAACCGTGTGCTCAGCCTTTTTTTTCCATTCTCCTCTTCCTTTCTTCCTGTGTAGTGGAAGACAGACGCCAGGCAGCGCAGGGGGGCCTTTTCTGAGCTGCAGGGTCTGCGGCAAGCGTGGGACGGGGCTGGAGGGTGAAGGTGAAAGGTTGCAGGGTGTGCCGAGGCAGAGCTGGGCGTACGATCGTGGTGTAGTGCTACAAGTACTCCAGGTCTAGAGCGTGGTGGAGGGCCATGAGGTCTGAATGGCTGGAGATCCTCCAGAAGGGCATGTTGTGCTGGGGGAGGAATAAAAACATGTAAAGCTTAGTTTAAAAACATTGAAAGAATTATAGATTCTATACATTTTAAGGGCAGAAACAATTAGTCAATAATCCTTTCAGTCATTTATTTTTATTTTTTTATGATTGTAAATTGAACATCTTTGAATTTTGGACTGATGGTCAGACACAAGCAATTTAAACCTGACCTTGGGAAACTGTAATAGGCATTTCTACTATTTTCTGTGGTTTTAATGGCTTAATGACCATCAAAACATTTACAAATTAATCAATATTAAAAAATAATTTAATTGCTTGCAGCAAATCTTAGCATGTGTAAGACGTGATTTTATTCTTTACACTGCAAGCTAATACATTCAATGGATAGAGTGAGTCTGGTCCATTCACCAGGAAAAACAATCATATCAATAACACACGCCGGCTGCTCCTCTTGCTCCCCTGTGCATACGTCTGTGCAGCCAAATACTACATTTGTTCCTCTAACTAATTTCTCTTCTGCATCAAAGTGTAGTTTTATACCACCAAACTAATCCAGTAGCTGTCTTCAACCTCAACAGAAATGAACTCCCCACAGTGTCTTTTGAATGAACCTCCTGCCTGCCAGTGTGCGTTTAGGACAGTGCAAATGAGCTGTTGTTCCCAAGCAGAGGACGGAGGGAGAAACCTGAGTCGCAGAGAATGAAAGGAGCTTGTCAGGTAGAGTCCTCAGCTCCTCAGTGTGTGGAGCCCATTACCCTCCCCTTATCAAAGGTATGGCCTCTCCCAGGCATATGTTCCGCTTAGGAGAGCCTGCACTGACCCTTAAAAAGCTCCTTGCTTTTTGTTTTGTAAATTGTCTTTGCTTTTAAGTTTAAAAGCTGGAGATGTTATCTCTGCCGTCCTTCCCAGGCAATGGTAATAACTGAAGGCAGAATTGTTTCAGGGATTGTGGATTTTCTTTTCGATGAAGGAATGAGGGCATAGAGAACTTAAAGACATTTGCTTTTGTAGTTCCACACAGTGTCACGTCTGATATGTGCCTCCTGACGGGTGAAATTGTTGTGTTATTTCACGTCCTCTCTGATGTTGACACAGAAACCTTTTACCGCATGGCGTGTCGTGGGACTCGCACCACTCAGACAGGGGAAAAAACGCCTTATCCTTCCATCAATGTCACACTCCAACAACTCAAGACTGAGTAAAAATATTTGCATCTTTTTCCACAATCATCCCTCGAGACCATATTCCCAGGGTGTGTTCACTTTTCAAAATACAGAGCTATTGCTTTACACTCTTATCCAGGGTAAAGGTTGCTACTTCGTTCTAATCGCTGCCTAATCACTCTTCATCTGTCCTCACACTTCTACTCATTGTTTACTGAGAAACAGGTGAAAAGGGAGCTGGAGGCTTTTCAAAGGGAAACTCCGCGTCTTCACCCTGACACCGCGGCTCACCGAAACTGTCAGTGAAATATGCTCCTCGGCCGCTGATTAATTTGCTAATGAATATGTTTGCCGTGTGGCTTGCATGCGGCATTTGGTTTACATCCAAACTTGGCAGAAACGCTGAATAAACAAATTGTGCAGCAAGAGCCAACAGGTAACATAAAAAGGGCAATGTCAGATTCGTCAGAACAGATACCGTCATGTTTCCTGAGAGAGCACGGGAGATGTCGGCTTTGAGCCTTTCTTGATCTGTGCCGTGCTAACAGGCTTGTCATTGCAGTAGATATTTTAATTTCACCAACAATGATTTAAGTTTCCTTTATGCGTGCTCTATTTACGATGTGCCTTCAACATGCCTGAAAGGGCTTGCCTAGCATTACACATACAGCATTCACGCTGCTCAGGGCACCGAGCAGGAATATATAATTATGCCATCTCTCCCCTCCTCTGCTCTGTAAACCTGAGATGGCGGAGGAAGAGCGCTGATTACACACTACAGACTTTCTCTCTTGTACTCGGATGCCGTTTAAGAGGATAAGCGAATGAAAGTAAAGTAAGACTGTTGAGAGCTGGAGTGCTGATTTCTTTCTTTGAAAGGTATGGCAGGTATGTTTTGTGCTCTGTAAGCATTCATACTGAACTCCTGACCTCACAGAAAGTAATCCAAACAGAATCTTTCCGCATAGCTCCGTATATTTCTGATAAATGTTTTCACCAGATGACTCAATGTGTTCATAGTAAGTGGTATCTATTGTTCCGAGACTTCTTACCTTTTTTGAGCCTTGCTCCTCTTCCACACCATCTCCAACAACAATGTAAACAACTTTCCTCCCGAACCTTTGAATTACTCTCTCGAAGCAGCTCTCCTTCCCTGTGGAGGAGTTGACAGCAGGATGTTAGTGGACCGTTGTATGCATGCAAAAAGATACACAGGCACATACACACTTTCAGGAAACCCACACTAGACACAATCACGTTGATTCCAAGTAATAGGGTGACAAGAGCCTCTTTAAAAACACCACACGTACAAAATAGGGCAGAGTGCAAGCACTTTGAGCTCGGCAAGGAGATGTGATAAGATCAGCCCTCAGATAAAGACAATCTGAAAAGCATTAATTCTGCCCTTCTCCTCCTTAAACATGGGACAAATGGACTTAAATCAGCTAAATCACTCTTGCATGCTACAGGGTCTGGTTAGGAGGACCAGTGCGCTTAACAGTCCAGGAACCCTGAGCAACTCTCGGCTCCAACTTTGCACAGATGGGTCTGAAAATGGTACGGGAGTGAAGCTTGATGTTTATTTTGCATTTGAAACATTGAAGAAGAGGAAGGACTGGAGGAAAAGGTGGGGGGAGATGGGAGTAGGAGGAGGAGGGGTGCTGTTGCTGTGGAATGACATAAATGTGCAGAAGTGGTTTCATATGCAGAGACTGAACAGGAGAGGCCTGGGGAGGCCCAGCACAGGCCCAGCTCCAGGAAAATAATCCCAGGCTGATTAGGCCTATTCCTTCATAGAAGAACATCAACCCTCTCCGATGACTGAATCTCCCACCCCATCCACGCCTCTGTCCCGTCACTTAGGTAGCATGTGTGTCTTGACTTTTTACACTCACCAAGCTAGAATAACAAGCATTCATGTCCCAAAGTGATAGAATGATAACAGCGCAGAAAACACAAGAGGATTCAAATCACACATTTCAGACGCACTATTTACCTATTTTGGTTGCACTATAAATATTCTCAATAGGAAAGACTATTCCCAAGCCGTAGAGCAGGACCTTAGCCAGGGCAGGGATGAGCTGCGTGGTGGTCACCAGGATATTCACACAGTTTGACCTGCAGCAGAGAGACAGAGGAGGAGAGCAAAGGGATGACATCATTCTAAATCACTCTTAGGGAGGACAAAAGAAAACACAGTGTGCAGAAAATAAAGACACTGCAATGTATCAGTTGTTTAAAACATGTCCTGCAATGAGGGATTGAATCTCAGTTCCTTTTTAAAGTCAGATCTCTTAGCACACTTATCTTTCAAAATCAGAAGAAAAAGCCTGTCCAAAAGACAAATTGGTGCATTGGTGTTTTCTTTAATAGCTTGGGAGTATGGAGTTGACTTATTTACACCACATGCAAGTTTATATATGTGCGGTATGGGACTGGGTACAATTTTCCTCACTGGAGTCCTACCTTGAGTGGATTAATGTTAGTGCTTTCAGTGCCAGTGTTAACCAGGAGTCCGTCAAGGCTTCAATTTCTGCTCGCAATTGCAACCAGGCTTCCCTTTTGGCTGGGCCCAGCAGACCTGAAACGCAGGGTAACATTGTTTGGGTTGGACAAGCCCTCCGAATACCACTGAAATTTTCAAAATTTACCCTGACCAAGTGGTGTGGCATGTGTGCTTTTACAACACACACGTGAACACGCGCAGACACTCACGCAAACGCCCACATAATGGGGGCACGTACATCTGCAAACTCATTTCTACTCAATGGATCTGTACAGAGCAGCGCTGCTTGTTGGGGATTACCTCCGACGTTATTTTTGTAGGTGGTGTAGATTTCTTTTACTCGTCTGTAGCGGAAGGCCAGTTTTCTCATCCAATCCACGCCTCCCCGCACGCCTGTGGCCAGACATAGATTGGCACTGGTCGCCGCTGCGTGGAAACCGTCAGCGCCGAAGTTATACGTACTGAGATAAAGACAAAGAAGGTATCTGTCAGCACAGGCTGCGCCAAACATTGCTGCTAGCAAATAACACAGTTTATTTTGACTATTCAATCAAGAATGAAAGTGTACCAGGGTTGTACCTCAGATCCTGCCCGTTGTCATCGGAGGATACATCGTCAATATGAACCTGGTCACATTCCTGGAATACACAAAACATATTATTTAATTAATGACAGATTCACACACTCTAAAAGAACTGTACTTTTTGAATTAAGAGAGGTTTCTTTCTTGGGAAAGGACACTCCACACATGTTCCAGGTCCATTTTTTCACTAGAAACAACATATTTATTCAGGAATTTGTGCTTTGGCTGGACACCTCAGTCTTAATCCCCTTCGCCTTGACTTTCTCTTTATATCCTTTTGAATCAGTTCTCCACATTTTTCTTCCCTTGTGCCTTCACCAGCTCTGTCCAAACAAAAACTAACCTCATCATCAGTCAGAATGGCTTGCTACCACTAGAGGGGTCTAAAGATATGCACATCCACAGACATAACTAATTAAGTCCCAATCCAACTCTAAACACTCCAGGTTGGCATTTGAACAGCTATGTCTGCGAGTACTGATATATATACATACAGTAGAAGGATGTATGTGTGTATGTGTGGCTGAATGTATAAAGAGCCTTGGCACTAATGGTCTGTGCATGTGTATGTGTCTGTGTATGCATCTCTAAACATATGTGCACACTCCTCTTCCCCTGTGGGGGTGCCTGGCTCTTCTTGGAAAGGTAGAGGGATTCTGCAGCTCTCTACTGATTCCACCGGTACACAGTAACACAATCCAGACTTTCTGGTAAATGTAACCTACTAGAAAAATTGAACCTGATGCTAACCGCCAATGAAATTATGACCTCTGATTGCTGCTGCGCCACACACCAACACAGCCCCGGGGCCAGTCGGCCAGGCAGCCGGCAAAAGAGCGCAGGAGAAAGCAGACTGAAAATCTGTTATTAGTTTTCCATTTATAGGAGAGCTCTAGTGCCTCCCCTTCCCCCCTCGCTCTGCCTCCACAGCCAGCTTGAAATGTGAGGGAGTCCTGCCTTGGCATTCAGATCAACACATTTCACATGGGGCATAGCAGAGAGAGACTGTCTAAGATTCTTTTTGCTAAAACACGGGGTGGCTAGCAATTTAGCCAACAACAAGGTTGAGCAATCGCCTCGATAGGAGCAACAGATTTTGAAATGAATGTGACGTCAAACTCTCAATTTGTTTCAGTCAGCCCTAATCTAGAATGAAAAACAGCAAGCGCATTTGATATCTCTATGAAGTCGTTTAAAGAATTTCTCTGGAAAGCTATAGGTTTTAAATTGGTTGCGTAACTGCCAAAAAGGTTAGTCTCACCTGTTTAAAGTTATGTGAGAAATAATAATTTCTCATGGAAATTGAAACTTGAGGAAGAGAATTCCTCCGGTCTCAAGTACGAAAAATCCCTCCCGATTTTTTAAGCTTTTTAATTAAGTTTCATCCGGCTGTTAAGACACCAAAACACAGAAAGGACTTCCTTGTTTTAAGTCAATCTAACTGAGGCCAAATGCTGACGTTATTGCATTCCTCTCTAATGCTAGAGCAGGGTAAGGGTAAGGGCTTTGGACTGTAAACCTTTTTTATTTTACTGGTTCCCCTCTGAACAAATTTTTCATCTCCCTGGATTTGTGGGGAGAGGGAGGGGAGAGCGACGTGAGGAGAAACTCAAACCAGCTGTTCTTTAACAGAATTAAAATCTTGACCCCCAACCCCTGCTCTAATGCAGCCATTCTCTCGCCAAGCCTCTCCCAGCAAGCCCCGAGATCCAAAGAGGAAAAGACTTTGACCCTGTGACCCCTCTCCCCTCCTCTCCGGGGCTCCCGCACCCCGATAAGGGGGTGGAAGGGTAGAGAGGTGGAGATGGAGGAGAGCAGCGGGTAAAGGCTGGGGGAGAGAGTCCAAAGTGACCTCACATGGAGCCAGCTCTGAGCCCCGCGTTCCAGAAGATGGACTGCCAATTGGAGATGGGGTGCAGGCGGGGGCTCTTAGCTCTGTTGGCTTAATCTGTTTCCAGACACTCACCAGCAGATCTTTAGTAGTTGAAGAAAGCAGCAATTTGTCCCAGCATGAAGACCTTCTGCCAAAAAACTTGAGGATAATTTATGTTCACAAATTATCCCACAAAACTTTTTCTCAGAACAGAACCCAAGCCAGAGGTATTGGTGAGCTTAATTCTTTAAGTAGTAGAGGCATGTCTGTTTGTTTAGGAAAACAAAAACAGCACCCTGGGTTAAGCACCTCATAAAGCCTCCTTTCAAAGACCTCCCATTCTGGTGCAAGTGACTGGAATGCTTCTATTATCCAGTAATTACCTGCTGATAAATTGGACACAATCAGCTGACTGCCAAAGCTCCTACACCTCTTTCACTTTGGTGCAGCACCATTCATTTCCACTCGTTTGGTATATCATTGCCCAATTGTATGCTGTCTCCTGGATGACAATAGTTCCTAATGTTTGTTCTTCCCCTGTAATGTGTTTCTTTCAGAGTCTGACAGCCAGCGTAGATGAAAACAGCTATTTCAGAACAATATTACTCAACACGTGAATTATGGGCCTATTTTAGGTGCCAGAGCCAAAACTCCAACATGACCCGAAACACATAAATATGTCTCAGTAATTAGGCCTAAATGTAGTCATTATAAGTGCTGCCTGATTATGAATGATTTTTCATGGACATGTCCAAATCCTCAAAGCTAATAAACACATCAAACCTCCAAAGTGTTAAAATTCAACTGGCCAACATAAATACAGGTGCTTGGGTTTTACAGTTTGAATGCCTGTACCCCTTCCATTTCATTGTTTCTGCATGTTTACATAGTTTTTTAATTTTGTAGATATTATGACGCTTAATTAACAGCCAAACTGGTCTCGAGACCTCCACAGAGATTGTGTGTGTGTGTGTGTGTGTGTGTGTGTGTGTGTGTGTGTGTGTGTGTGTGTGTGTGTGTGCTGTGAATGAAAAGGGAGGTGGGTTGTTGGCAGAATGCGCAGACTCCAACAATTACTGTTCGCAGCTGGGGCTGGCATAAACCTCTGCACTGGCTTCCTGGGAGGACTGGGAAAGCTAATAGAGGAGGTGGCTCTGGGTAATGTTGTACAGTAACCCTTACACATACTCATTAGGAGCCACTTCTGAAGGCCTCGTAAACACCACAGAGCCATGGATGGTGCAGGTTCAAGTCAGTTAAGTACAGTCGTATAGTCAAAGTGGGGAGGATGGAAAGAAACACTATTGAGCAGTGAATTTTACTAACTGACTGATGGACTCCAGTGGCATTCCAGCATTGTTTGATGGACAGATTATAAAATGGCAAATAAATAGTACAGATCTGAAAAATGCATGTATATATATACAGAAAGTATACAGAAAGCAAAGAAGAGAAAATAAAAAATTACCTCTTTTTGTTTAATTACCGTCACCTTGTCATAAAGGAGCTCATTCATATACATGCAGGACTTAATAATGGGATTTATAAGCACTTAAAGTTACTTTCACTGACTCACACGCTACTATTATTTTGTTTGTATAACTCTAATAAAAGAATGACAAGGCTTCAAGATGGTGGCACATTGAGGGGCAGTTTGAGAATTTCTTAGAACGTTTTGAACATCTCTTTTCCATCGAATCCCCCCATTCTCCCCTCACCAAGCAAACAGTGGTCTCTCTAAAACCTACAATCATCACTAACTCACACCAGATGTTCCTACTGTACTCAGGAGTGAAGACCCTCCACCAGAAGCCATCGCAATTACTCCTTATACAAACACTATGTATTTCTGTAAAATTCATCAGCATTCAACATTCTTTTCTTATATTGGAGTTCTTTCAGCTATAGAACAGTCTTTATCTGTATACAGGGAAAGACAAAAAGGCCAAAAAATGCACAACAATTGAAGACAGGATGCTTCTGCCTCAGGATGCTTCCATCTCTACATCATTCACTCTCTCTTCCTCTCCCTGTGTCTTTGTCTTTCCACTAGTCTGCTGAAAACTCTTCACCGTGGAAGAAGTTATCAGAGCCCTCTTTGTTCCCTAGGCATCTGTCATTAAGCAATCAGCAATGACGGCCTGAGTCTTCCTGTAGCCCTGGAAAGAGCTCAGAGTGGTGACTGCAACAGTCAGAGGCAGGGAGAAGAAAGACAGGGCAAGTCAGAAACACATGTTACCAAAACAAAGAAAGGACCATACTATCTAAACTAATAATTACACCTGACTTTCCCATGAAGGTCTAGATCAACGCCATAAAGACAGTGTCAACTTTACAAGCTGCACCACTTGCTCCTCCTCTCTCTCTCTCTCTCTCTCTCATCTTCTGTCTCAGGTGAGCTGCTGGGGTGGGGGTGGGTGGTCAAAACCACAGTGTGAGCGATAACAGCCGTCATCACAGCATTCCTTGTGACCCTACAGGCTAATGCCATGTGAAAAAGGCTCATCCATGGTTCGCAGGTTCTCAATACCGCCACTCCACCGGCAGTGGCTGTCATCCCCCCTGCGGTCTGTGACCCCCAGCAACTTCCTTCTCCGTTCCCACCACAGGCACCCCTGTCTGGGTGGAAAGAAGGAGGGTGCATTGGGGTGGGGGGGTGGGCTGTGATTACCTGGGGGTCAAACACAGGATGTGGGTAACAAAGGGAGAGTTCTTCGAACCCACTTCATTCCAATCCACAATCTGTGCTTGAACAGCCACGGAATTCAAACAGCGGCGCCAAACAAAGCACAGGTATAGAGAAGTCAATGCTGGTTTTACAAAAATTCACACGATCAGGAGAAGGGATCCAGAGGGAGCACAAGTATGCTCTGCTCAGAAACAGACTGACTTTTAACAAAGTTGTCTGTTAAGAGCTGTTGTAATGACTGGAAAAGTTGGAAAAGAAAGAAACACCCCACTGGTAGGCAGTGAAAAGTATAAATTAGTTATGTGTGATGGATGAGCTGCTTCTCATTATTTCCTATTTTTGGCGTTGGAAGTCCAAACCAGACCTCAAGGAGAGCAACATTAAATGCAATATCAAATCTCAGTCATTTCAGCATTTTCCCTCCGCAACAAATGTATCCATAGAGAAACAGTTTATTCATGCCAAGTGGACTTTTGTTTGGACAAATCTGTGCATGTTTCTGCCCTCTTCCTCCACAGAGCATGTTGGGCAGGTGCTGTGTCTCCTTCTTTAATTCAGGACAAGAAATCTATTCTTAAATATCATAATTTGTCACCAGACAGTAATGTTATATTTTCCATGCTCCCTCAACCCCTATTGGTGCAGGAATCGGCTGTGTTAGGATAGTGGGTAGGTGGTGGGGGTGGGGTGAGGCTCTGTGGAGCGAAGATTGACAGGGTGGCTTTGAAACCTCCACTTTCTCTCTGTAGTCTTTCCAAAACACATCGGTGGCCCCGCCTTGAGATGTGATGGAGTTATGTCGAGGAGCATGACAGAACTGCTGCATCAGTGGCCAGGCGAATGATGAAATACCCACATCAGTGTGTGCAGACCAAAAGAAGCCCATCTGAGAAAATATACTATAAATGAAAATTGCCTTATTTAGTTCACTGTTGTAATTCGGTTTCAGCAGCACACTGTTTATTGAAAAATTGAAAAAAAGAACTCATCCTTAATGGTTTCGTAGTTCTCACTGGTGCAGATCGTGATGAGTTGTATGTTAGTCTGATTGAAATATAAATAAAAATCTGTGCCACAAAGCTACAGTGTTAATTGGTAACCGTTGTAACTGAATGACTGACTTTCATGATTCAAGGAAATACTGGGAATAAAACCACAAAAATACACTATCAAGGAAAACACCATAAAGCTACCAATCATATGGAATGGCAAGTACAGGATCTGACTGTACAGTGGGACATAAAACCAACAGAATAGCTCCATGCTAAGAGGCTCTGGAGGGCCATTTCAGCCACTAGGAAAAGGTAACCATGCGTTTCACAGCATCTCTCATTAACAGGCAGCCCTTGGGTGAGAGTGACAGAGGAGGTTTCAACCCTGCGACTGCAGGCTGGGAGCTATAAAAGGCAGTCAGCTCACAGTGTCACAGGGTTGCTCCACAGGTATGTGTGTGAGTATGAGAGTCTGTGGGTAGTGTTCATACAGTACATATATGTCAGTGTGTGTGTTAAGACTTAGCTGCACAACAAGTTTAGAGTGCATGTGCATGCACGTGTGCTTTGCACACAGCATGGAGGCATCAGTGGACTAATTTAAAATGCTCCCACCTTTAGAGACCTCTCCCCCTCTTTCTCCCTGTGAGTGGTTTGCCCCCATGCCCTTTATCCTCCAGACAGGGAGGGTTGTTTTCTCACCCAGGGAAGGGGGAGACGGCAGCCCCTGTACCCCACTGAGACGGGAACATGGGGAGCTCGGCCAGCAAGAGAGAGGGGCCCCTGGTTCCCACATACCGCTCAGAGTTAGCGTTTGGGCTGCTGCAGCAAACCTACAGTAAACTCACACCCTGAGTCACAGCAGAGCTGTCAGTCTTCCCAGTGAGCTCAACCTCAGTGGGCTTCATTAAACACATCACTTCAGACCATCAATTAACTCCACATTGAACCCCACACCACAAAACTGGCATCAAAATGGTATCTGGTGAAGCAAATTTACTATTTCAGAAATAAGATGTGAACAACAAATCTTCTTGTAAAAGCATATTATTTTGAAAAATATTAAAAGGTTATTAATCACTTTGACAGTGATAAGAAATATATTTTCTTCTAAGAATACAATGAAAAAAATCTAATCAAATTATTGATATTACCTTTCCATTAGGATGTTGCTGTTAATTAAGATTTTTTTTTTTTAATTTGGTATCAAGTTTTGTTTTTGATATAGCATTGATTATATGTTTATCTCTGTAGCTATTGAAATACAACTTCTTCTATAAGGAAAATTAATACAGCAGAGATCACATCAATAGGGATCATATTGCCTTGAATTACTTTCCTAATACTTCCCTCAGTGAGAGCATTTTTGATGATAAAAACACATTGTGCTGTTCATACAATACTACACAGCCGTCCTTTACAGAGCTGAGCAGCAAATGGTTTGTGCGGGACGATCGATAGAGAGGTTTGTGTATGTAGTTTGGGAAGGGAAGTCTTTTGGGGAGGTGCAGTATTTCTGGGACGCACCTTCAATACTATCTAACGGTGAATGAAAAAAGAGAGCGCTGATCCAGAAAAAGGTTAGAGGAGAAAGAGGGAGAGAGACGTAAGGGTGAAACTGATCCCTGTTGACCCCTTCGGCATGCCCTCTTTCTTTTTATGACTTTCCTCTGAATCGTCACTCACCAGCTCTATCAACACGGTCCAGCCTCCATTCACACACGCGCACACACACACACACACACACACACACACACACACACACACACACACACACACACACACACACACACGTCCACGTTATACAAAAGACTAGAGCATTTGCTCTAGCTTCTGCAGGCTGAGCACAATATTATGCTTAATTTTGATGTTTAGAAGCCTGCATTTATGTTTAAAACATTTTATTTGCCAAAAAACTAGCATTTTAATGCAAGAATAATAATGCATATAGTGTGAAGTAGTAAGGACGCTGAGTGCATATTTAATGTTCTTGTGCGGAGGCTGGTAGGACAACAGTGTTAAGACTTAGATGGACCACTCACACACACACACACACACACACACACACACACACACACACACACACACACACACACACACACACACCGTTAGGCCACTAATTCTGCACCTGTGTTTCTGCACAGCCTTTGGGGTTTCCCTTTATGGCTTAGACTAAATTAGATGGACCATATGCATTTCTGCACATGCTTAAATACATAACTGCTGCTGGCTGTGGTATTTATAGTTGTACTCTATTTAGCTCTATCTGAGATGGAGCACTGTAAATCAGCAGAGAGGAAACACAAATGGTTAGGCATTGCTGAGGACTGGCACTGCTCACTTTAAGAGGAGAGATCAATATGCCTTCAAGAGGATGTCACTCCTCTTCTGGTATGACTGTTAATGACAATACTTGCAGCTTCTGCAGAGTCTTTACATAGGTCATCCTAAAAAGCGTTCTTGCAGCCACCACAGATTGCTGTTTCAGTCATAACACTACTCTAGTTTTAGCTGTGAAAAACATTTGAAGCTTTAGAGTGTCAAAACAAAATCGAATAATTTTGTTACTGAGATAGAGCAGAAGAAAAATACGTGTTGCATTTGAAAATAATTTTATAAGCAGTCTGAGCTGCCAATTCATCTGTGAACAGTTTCATCACACATGAAAAGAAATCAAAACACAGGACAGATGTTGAGCAAAACCACATTTAAGCGTTGTCACAAACTGCCATTTTTTCAAATGATTGGGGCACATCTATTAAATAAAGTGCAGCTACAATGGATTCTACATGGCTGACGCATAAGGAAATATTTAACCAGCCAATTGCAGCCAATTAACTTTGATCACGATGACTGCGTTTGGAATCTCAGTCACTCGTCTGTCTGGGAGAGTATGAACATTTTCTTTCTCTGTCTCTCTCTCGTTTTCTCCTCCTTCTTGGGCTTGCTTCATGTAACACAGCCGAACATGGTGGTGAGTAATGAGACTTGGCAGACTGGCCGCAGATCTCTTCACACTTAAGTATCAAACAAAACATTTCCTCTACTGTGAGGTCAGCATAAAGCAGGACACTGAGGAAAAGAGCTGGGTCAGTGGGATCAGATTCACTGGGAGAAAGAGACTGAGAGGACGAGGCAGGGACAAAAATCGCAAAGATAAAAACTCAATAAATCGTAGACAGAGAATTGGATAAAGCTATAGCTGAGGGAAATAATATTGAGATAATTGCTTTGTTTATTGCTAAATGTGATGAGCACTGATAGTTAGCTGGCTTAACATCTGGATCAGGGTAGAGGGTGTGCCTCATGTCTGTGAATGTGTGTATATGTATGAACAAATGTGGCACACACTTTTCTGTACATATAGTCTGACCCTCTGGTTGTTCACCTCTCCCCAGAGTGAAGTAGACACTCAGACACCCCAGCGCACACACACTCACATACACACCCTTGATCCCTCTACTCCTTTGCCCCAGGGGCAAATTTTACACTAGCTGTACATGAATCAGGCGGGCAAAGAGGCGTGGGAGGGGAGGCGGTGGGGGATTTCATGCTGTGACGGAGGGGTCTGTGGTGTAGGTGGACAGCGACACCAAGCACACAGCATGACCCTCAGACAGACAGAGCGGCCACAGAAACACTAGAGCCTGACAAATTGAGCTGGCCGCTATGGGAGTGGGAAGGAGGTGGGGGGCAGGGCCGGTGACCCAGGAATGACGGAGACTGACAGCACATGTAAAATTCATGGTATCCCTTGAGCTCCGAGGTAATACTTCACCATTATGAGACTGATAACTGAGAAACCGGCCCCACGCTATGAAACAGTTGTTGACCACTAAAATCGTCACAAGTCGAACAGAAGGCATTTGTGCAGAACAGAAACATAGCAGAGGTAAAGAAAGCTTAGGGAAGAGAGAAAAACAAATAGACGTACCTCTAAGTCGTTAAAGAATAAGTGTGTGTCGGCCAAGTTGAAGATCATTTCTTCCATCCTCAGGCCTAGTGATACAGATGTTGGCGGATCCTGAAAAAATAGACAAAAAACAATTAAATCACATAAAAATCTTTCTTCTGAATATTGAGGTAATGTTGTTCCATTTGAAGGAGTTAATGTGAAACAATAAATAATGCTGTTCCCTCTGAGTCACTCAATTAACACAGAATCCCTTTAAATTCCACAGCAGGGTATTCCCATAAAAGAAGACATTAGGCGGACTTGAAAGTTTCAGCCTCTGTTTACGACTCCTCCGAAAGGGACCAGAATAGTCATCAGAAATGCCTCAGACTTGAATGAATGCAGTAAAAGCATGTCTCTTCTCAGGAGGGGTGGTCGATTTAGAAGAGTTGGGGTCACAGTCTCATCGTAAATAGCCCATTCTCCACATACCTGTGCTGATGCATCATCTGATTGCTCTCTAGGTGATAGATGAACACAATTGCCACTGAGGCAACCACTCTGAGGTGTTCATTAATATTTAAAACTATTCAACTGTAAAATTTACGGAAACTGACGGTTCCCTGAATCGAGCACAACTGCAATTTTTACTTAAATCATGATCTCTGTCAGTAACGTGACACATGCTGTAATGGTGATAGGGTTGCACTGTCTGTAAGATAATACCTAGAGAGGAGTGAACTAAACTGTAAATAGTTAATGAGCCTGTGACAATGTGTGCGATTTTCCCTTTAAAAATATAATGAATGGGCAAAAAGTCACCAGTGCATTTTCTCATTAACATTATTATTAAGATATGAGCCATGTGCAGTTATTTTTCACATGCTAACAAAACTGCTCATCTATTTTAGGAAAATCACTGCCCGTACCATTCTTAACTTTCCGTTCAGTCATAAATCATACACAGTATATTATAGTTAAATTACTGGATAGAAGAGCTTCTGTTCTTTTTTGCTGTTGCGCAAATTGAACTCCTTTTATCTTAAATCTCTAATCAGCAGATTGTCTTCTGTAAGCAAAGGATGAAGAGAGACAATAGTAGGCTGCAGAGGAGGATTTTCTGCAGCTGTGCGAGACTGCATTAAAGACGGGCTTGGAAGGACCAGAAGCAGGGATTACAGAGTTAAACCACCTGAAGACACACCTGAGCTTTTTTACTGATTAGCTGTCACATCCCACAATGCTTATGTTTTCGTTAAAATGACAGAGGACAAACCACACAAGTAGAGCTCAATCCCCACTTCTAGAGGCTTTCTCCTTCCTCTTAACCCCCCAGTTCGAATCAATCTTTCAGTCAGAATTCATCAAAAATAATTAGCCTCCCACATCAGCAGGCTACCAGCTCCCTCTCCCCAACTTCTGCCGCTGTTGGGTGATTTAGCATTATGGCCTGGTTTGGTGGGAAAAGGCTGTCTTCTCCGGTGCAAGTGAATCCTTTCCAATTAAATCTAAACAATCAGTCAGTGAGGGAGTTAAGAATACAAGCAGGCCAGAAGGCCAAAGTGCTGCTGCTGTCATTGCTCCAGCACCACCTGTCCAGAGATGTCAGTGCCATCCACTGGGGCGCCAAGTCAACCCCCACCTCCTCCCTCTGAGCCCCTTACCAATAACAACCCCCCCCCCACACACACACACTTTAAGCTCCAGCTCTGGTCAGCCCAATAGCAGCACAGCTGGCCTCAGCCATCAGCTTTATGAGGGTGAGCTGCCTTGATGCCAATTAAAAGAGCTGATAAGAGCAGCAGTGTGTTTGGGAGAAAAAGAGAGTCAGAGAGAGTGGGTGGGAGGTCACAGAGAGTGAGAGAAAGTTTGAATGTGAGCTCGCTCAGATACACATCTATTTATAGTAAGCTTAGAGCAGCTAGGAGGGAAAACTGTTTAGTAACTTTTCTGTTTATGCTACTAAGATAGGGATGACATGAATGGCAGACAGAGGGAAGGACAAGGGGGGGGAGACAGGGTGGTTATTGTGGTGGATGAGTGGTTGTGGGGGATGTTGGTCTGCTTCACTTTCTTTTCTGAGGTAGTTTACAGATCTGCCTTTCTGATAGGCTTTGAGGTAGCGTGCTCTGTGGTTGCTGTGAGTAAGCATGCCTCCCTCTTATAATATTGCTTTAATGTGATAGTGTCAGCAGGTCGAAGCATGAGGGGGAGAGAAACTTTGGTAGAAAAAAGTGAGTGAAATGGGCAGAGGAGGAGAAAAAGAGGGAACAAAAGAGAAAACAGAGTGAGAGGGACTCTAGCGGCTGTCACATCCTATATGAGCTCTGATGGAATGGGCCCTTATGGAGTCAGGAGTGTTTCCTGTTTCTGAGGAGCACACTGGAGACCCTGTGTATGCGTGTGTGTGTTCATATGTGTGTGTGGTTGGAGAGTCCCTCATCACTGAGCCACAGCTCCCTAAGCCTTAGCTCTCTCTTTACCCAGCATGCAGGGCCGAGAATAAAGTAAATAAACAGTTGAGGGTCGTGGGGCAGCCCTCTTTCACCCCAAAAACAAAACAGTGCCCCCATCAAACACCCCCTCATACCAGAACAAAGGCACAGAGCATGGGCCGCAGACGCTAAGCTCTCTGACATATGAGGAGCAATATGTCATTTTTGACTTCAAAACCAGACACCTCCATAGCCAAAACAACCGGTGATTAGAAATACTGCTCTTAGACAAAAAAAAAAAAAAAAAGCAGATTCTTTAAGATCCTACTGTTATTTTTATTCATGAGTCCTATATCTAAATGGGAAAATAAGCACGGATGAACTACTTTGAAAGCTATATAGAAACCATGACCTCAACAAAACCATGAGAATAGGATTCTGTCTTATTTCCCAAATTGTTTGTTTTGAAAGTTTAAATTTAGAGAAGCAATTTACATGGAACAACAAATAGCAAAGCCTGGAAAAGTAAACTCTTCATCTTATGAGCATACACAACAACGTGGGATGTAAAATGACCCTGCAGTATTATAATAATATATAATTGTTGATATTTATATATACATATGTAATATATTTTAATTTGAATCCTAATTAAAGCAGGTTTAAGGGAACCTCTGTGTTCCAGTTTTGAGTTCTGACTGAATTACATTTGGTGGACTCACTCTCCTGCCAGGGTCTCCGGGGAGATCCCTGCCTGAAAAGGATGGATTGAGAAGCACTTAATTAAACTAACAATGTGGCATTTCTGAAGGAGAAAGGAACACTTAAGATGTGTCAATAGACATCCAGAGTGCAACTGTTCTGAGCCCCTACAGCCGAGCCCCGACCAGCCATGCATAGCTCCAACAGCTGCAAAGAGCAGTCAAATACTTGCCAAGCCTCATTGGACCTATTAAAAAAAGAAACAATTATCTGTACATTGAGTTCTGCTCTGTCTTCTCACTATGGACTCAAGGCACAGTGAAATCTATCCTCCGCTCAATGGCCACTTCCCCCCTGCCCCATATCCTTTTTTTTCTCCTTTTAATATTTATGTGTTTTGCTGATAAAGTGCACCGCTACTGCCACAGTCTGATGTCACTCACCCGTCCATATCTGTTGGCATAAGAACCCGTAAGCAAGGAATGGAAAACGATGATTGTTTCATCCAGGTCCCAGATGAAAACTCGCTGGAGAGATGGGGTGCGGAGGGGAAAGAAAGAAACAAAGAAAAACAGAGAGAAAAGAGGCAAAATCAATGGTGCACTCTGTAGGGCTGCAAGGTGATCCTCCTGGTCAATAGGCCAGGAGCGTGTATTTGTGCGCCACAGGGACCAGGATCCATTTGCTTGAGTTGGTCACCGCAACACTCCTCCCATCACCCCACCACATGCTTTCCATCCCCTGCCCTTTACATTAGAGTAATCAATAGTGACAAACTAATTAACTAGATATGTTAACATGCCATGATGTCAGTGCTATAATGGCTGCTATTAACCTTGTTCAAATTCATATCATATTAATGAAGAGCCCTCTGAATTACCAAGAGTTTATTTTGACATATGGTCACTATCAAAGTGTTTTATGGTGCAATGGTATCATTGTTAGTCACAGCTAGAGTCTTTCATGACTACAATATATATATTATTCACTTCAGTGATGACTCACTTAATCACATGCCTTATTGTTTATTTACGAGGTATACATGAGAACTTTATATAAGATATGTGTTTAGTGATGTCATATATTCCACAATGCATAAATAATGCAGTTATAGTTAAGGAATCAAATCTTTAAGAATTAATGTGTTAAAGCTGGTGTGGCAGCCATATAGTAAGTGGATTAGTGTCCATGTGCCTCAGACAGGGCGAGGCTGTCTGTCGCCAAGGTAGCGGGCTCACCCTACCTCAAGGTCGGAGTCAGGCGGCGGTGATGGGTTGTTGTTCCTTCTTCCCCGGCCACGTGACTTTCCATCCGAGGCCCGGCGCAATCGATCTGAATCTGAATCTTTAATGGGGGTTGATGGACTGTGGATGGTACTGTACTCTACTGCTGAAAGGAAGGAAAGAAAGAAGAAGGAGAGTATAAAAAGAGTGTATCGAAGATGAGCTATTATTTGCTTTTAGCAAAGCAGTGACCATTTGTCTTGATGCAGAACAGACAGTTTCCTGGGGACATTTTTAGTGTTTATGCAGGTAACCAACCTTTTATAAATCAGTTTCAGAACACATACTAAAAGCTACTGTGCTCCATGCTGATTTAATAAGTTAACGGAGTACATGCCAACTAGGAATAGCAAAGATGTCTTTTATCTAAATTGGATGACTGTGTATGAAATTGTGTTTAGTTGATGCCTGATGTTTTCGGTGTTGATTGATGACAATTTCAAATGCAGTCATAAAGGTTTGACTGACTTATAAAGATGCAATCAGTGCTCGACTGCCAAATGATACATTAATGTCACATGCAATTATGGGAAATTCTACATCTGATTTCAGTTTTAACTTAATTATGTCTTGCTTGCCATACTGCAGTACACTGGCCGAAATGATTTCCTACTCATATTGTGCATATGGGTTAGTACAAAGAAAGATTTTTGGTATTTTGCTCATGCTCTCTTATCAGGAACAACTTGCAGTCAGTGAGAAGGAGGGGGTTCAGTGGCCTGCTTGTTCATTTAAAAAAACGAAACGTTGCCCATAGCAGGATCAAACTCCTGATATTCAGGTTAGACAGGTAAATCCTGCTGCCTGTGGTTTGAAGCTTACCTGCAGGGTTCTCTGTCAGGGCCTGGCTGGTTATGCCAGTGGGTGGCTCCTGGAGGGTGTAGGTGGTGGTGGTGGAGGGCGTGCTGGGGCTGGTGTTGTTACTTGTCATGTAGGGTGAAGTGTAGGGTGAGCTGTTGTAATACTGAGCATACTGCCCCTGGCCAAAGGCTGGATAACTGGGGTATTCCTGAGTAGACAAATGGTAAAAAGGTAGGTTACATTTGGATAAAGACAGGGATATGGAGGAAAAACAAGAGATAAGGAAACATATGTACAATATGGTGCAACAAGGAAGGTTTAGATAAAAAAGGTGGAAGCAAAGAGAAACAAAAGGTAGAAGATTTGAGGAAGAGAAGTAGTAGGTTTGGCAGTAATGTGAGATATGCCCTGCACCAGTGTTGCTACTTTACAGTGCAGATTCCAAAACATAAATGCAAACACATGTCTGTTCTGTCCTACATCTGGACAACGATCTGTCTTGTTTTTTTTCCCTCTCCCTTTCCTCTGTGGCATAATACATTTGTGTTGGGGGAGGGACAGTAGATAATCCTGCGTACAAAGCTTTTGACATCCTGAGTGATTTATGTCTGAATATGTCACGGATGAAATGTTACATATTGAGTATGCATGTTTCATAAAGATTTCCAGGTTGGGAAGAAGTCTGCGAGTTAAACTTTTATAAACTGATAGCTGCATACTGGTACCAGAACACAGAGGTAGAATGAGCAGAAGGAAGTGCACAGCTACCTGTTGTGTGCTGTTGAAGCCGGTCGAGTTCGTCAGGGAGTTGTTTCCTGCATACAATCCTGACGTTGTTGTGAAAGTACCACCTTTAGGGAAAAAGAATAAACCTTTTGAGTTATGTATACACCATAGTATATAAAAAAAACATGATTAAATCTGCTCGACTGCAAGCAGTGCTGTGGCAGAAATGAAATGGCACATTGTTATGGGGGAAAAAGATTAGTCTTTTGTGAAACATCTATTTGAGGTGGCGAACAGAGGGATGCCTGAGGGAGCGCTCCCAACAGTGGCCTTATCTTTCTCCTCTTCCTTCCTTATCAGTGATTGGATCATGCCTGATGAATGACAGAGGGGGCAGAGAAGGGTGAGGGGTGGACAGAACCTGCTTCCAAAGCCGTCCAAGCCCGCACAATGTGAGGAAGACAAGAGACTGCTGTGTGTGAGCTCCCAGAGGGTGGCGTGGGGTTAAGGAGGGGGGGTATAGTGGAAACGGTGGATGCACTGGGACTGAGCATGAGGATGCCAGGGGGGCTGTGCATGGGCAGTCTAGTGAGACAGAGCTGTATACGGAAGGAGAATTGAGGTTGCAGTGAGTAGCACTCGGGGGGGTTAGCTGCTGACATCCAGCCCCAATGAATATGTATGTTCCTCTTTTCACTTGCTCAAAGGATGGTCCTCCTGGGTAATTAAATCATTCAAAGGGGTTGATACCATCTAATGGCTTAATAATATACATGACATGAGTTATAGAGGAGAGGAGCAGCGGCGGCCCCCGGGGCACGACTTCTCTCTTCAGTAGTCATCCACCTGTACTGTCATGTCAGGCAAGAGAACAGCAGGAGGGGTAGCTAAAAGGGGATCACAGACTGGTAAAAAGGCAGCAGGGTGACATGTCATGAGAGAGCTGGGTGTGCTAAAGCTTAAATGAATTCATTTAAAAATAGCTTTATTGCACTAAAACATTTTAATTTGACTTAATTTGAAAAAATTGTTTCAAATTTTCAAATCATTAAATTAAAAGAAGTTTTTTTCTTATTGTACGAAAGCTTAACATTATTAAAATGCAGTCAAGTAATTATCTGTCTCTGCAGCCACAAGCATGTTATAAAAAGCATTTAATCACATAGCGGCCAAAGCAAAAGCCTGCGATTACTCCGATAATTTAGCTGTGAGTAGGGAGCGTTTGATTTAGGCACTCTAGATGCAAAGCATGAATATTGCATCCACTCAAGTTTAATTCATTGTGAAGGCCAAAATTGCCATTGACAATAATATAGGATTATTTGTGCAGCTTGGTGTATGTACATTATTCAGCATGCTAATATAATATATACAAACAAAACAACACCAATAGTAAAGCTTCTGGCAGTTGCTGACTTTCTCTGCCTAGTAACAGAGACTTGAGCCTAAAAGATTTCATTACAAATAATCTATTAAAGTGTCATAGCAGTTCTTCAACCTTAAAAATACGGCCCCAGGGCTTTATTACTCCTTTCTCTTCATACAAAGACAAATTGCCTCTCCATACATCCACAGGGGGACATTAATTAGCACTACCATTGCATTCTTTAAAAAAGCTTCTTCACTCATCACCCCAGTGTTCCCTCCCTAGCCAAAAAAATATCCCGTAGCTTCAGTGAAAATGAGCGAGAGGGAGATAAATTTACTGTTCCTAAATGGGGGCGTAATTACACCTTTGTTCCCAGAGACAAACAGAGGGAGTTCCTTTCATCCTCTGGTCATTGGCCCCATCAGGAGGGCCCTCCCACACCGTGACAAACGTGAAGCAGCTTTCAGAACAGTTGGAAGGATCAGTGAAGGGAGGGGGGAAGTGAAGGGTACCGTATGGAAGAAAGCATGGAAAACAGAAGACGTAGTGCAGTGTTTAGCATTGTCAGGTAGCTAAGCACCCTGCACTGTGGCCAAAAAAGAGAAACAAATACCTCCCAAGCTCCCAAGATTACCAGGATCCACTAATTATTTGTGCAGTTTCTCATTCTCGGCTTCCAGTAATTACACACACAGCAGATTTTTACCTTGTTCTTCATTCTGGCATCTAACGGTTATTTTCATCAGATCTGTTCTCGCTCTTTGTTGTATTGTTTGATATTTCAAGGCCTGCGGGAGGAATTTTATAACGTTTGTGTTCTCCGCAGAAAGTTCAACATCAAGTGAAAGTCTGACAGAACAATAAGACAGAGATGAGGAGGAGTTATACTGCGAAGGACAACAAATTAGCCTAATGCACAGTTCAAACAGTCATAAAAGCGCTCACTGGCAGGGTTTGAGGGTTGCTCTGTGGAGAACAAGGAGCCACATAAAAGCAGTGGGGACCCCTGCTAGCCCAGTGAGAATGAGCCCATGCTGTTGGGAGTGGTGGTGCTGGTTATAGCAGGGGGAGAAAGAGGGGGTCTTGTGGTTCCCCCAGGGGGCATGTTTTCTCTCCCTCCTCCTGTCCTGCTCCAGTTAGTTCACTCACTCAAGACCAGACATCACCCCTCCCTCCTCTCCTCCTTCCCTCCTGCCTTCTGGCTCCACAATTGGAAGTCCATTTGCTTTGCTTGATCAGTCCCCTTGCCATGGGCTATGTCTATCATCAGTGCACAATATTTGTAGCAGAAGTTTGTATGCCCCACTTGGGAATAGGCTATCAAGTCCAGATGGGGCTCTCCTTTTAAAAAGGCAACCGAGGCTTCAGCTTCTTCAGCTTGCACTGCCACTGGGACAGAATGCTGGAATCCAATTATTCACCTAATTAGCATCTGCTCAGTCCCACCATCAGCACAATCTCTATGTCTCCTTACACACCTCTAATGTTTTAGGCTTTTTCTGACAATCCACGGGATTGCACTACCTAAACTGGCACATGGGACTGCAAAACTAAGGCGCACAAAGACGCCTGTGCCCTTTACAATTTGGTGCCACAACTTTAGCGCCTACACAAAGCTCCATGGCATTGGACATGAAAGCAAGGAGCAAAAACATTAATCTAATCGTCCTCCGCCTTGACAGCTGGCCACACGCTGGTGGCAGGGACACTGACGGAGAGGGGGAGTATCCGATGTGGAAAAAAGAGTCTTTGGTTGGGACACCCAGGCCCGAGGCACCTCACCCAGGCAGATCAATAGGCCAGAAAGAGTAATGATGATGGTGTGGCGGAGGGCCAGAGCCACAGTTAGAGATCCCAAGGCCAGAATAGTGGTCAATCTGTCATCTAACATGGCTGTCAATTACTAACGCACTTAATGCTACGTGGGGCATCCGATAGCCAGAGATAGCAGGAGACAGTGAGGGAGAGACAGAAACAGATGGAGAGAAACAGAAAGACAGAGTAAGAGAATAATACTTAGAAGATAAATGGGCACATAATACTGTCATCGTGAGTTAAACCACTAAGGGCAGGATAGCAGCTTCTGCATTCTGCAGCACATGCGTCCAGCTCTTGTTCTCTTGCTTTCTCTCTCTCTCCCTCTCTCTGCCTCTCCTTTTTCAGGCGCTCGGCTGCACTCTGCAGAACTCCGGCTGTGGCTGACTGTATTTGGTTAAGAGGCGTGGAAAAGAGGCTTCCCCACGCCACATCTGCTGCTGAGCTGGCGTTATTTATTGTGAGATGCTCTGGAGGCTTTTCAAGAACATGTGGAGATGTTTCTACTGTCACACATTAGATATTGCCGGAGAGAACACAAAGACTATGCTAGCTGTTAGCTAACTGTCCCTACCTAGTGCAGGTGGACCAGAGGCTTTGTTTGAACCAATACAAAGAAAGAGTAATAGAAGCACTACATGACAGAAGGCCTGATCCACATTCAAACAGACTGTATGACTGGACAGAGAGAGCAAAAGAGGGGGAGTGCAGTGCGCAACAACTCATCTTTATCGGTTTCAAGGCCATAAATCTCTATGGTCTCAGCTCTTAAACAAATACAAATATGATCACAGGGAGAGAAAAAACAAAGGCTGGGGAGTGGGGAGCGACATGGCTGGTGCCTCCTAAGTGCCTGCCATTTTTCCATCTGTGTTGATTCTTTTAAGAGGAGAGGAAAGGAGAGGGAGGCAGCCATCATGGCTGCACATAACGACTGCCGAGATGCAGCCATCTTTTGGGGTGAGGGAGAGGGCCGTGTAGTGAATCAGTCTGACTCTGCATGCTATTAAATCAGGGAGAGAGACCTTTTTCTCTAATCTTTTTTTAAAAGGATTACAATAAACCTTATTTGGTTGGCTAAGCAGAGGGAACACGTGGCAAAAGTGATGAGGACAGAGGGGAAAAACTGATAAGGGATATTGGCAAAATAATGTAAAAGAGAGGACAAAGTAGATGAGTACTTTGGCAATGACGTTCAAAGGACAAAAATAGATACACGGAAAGAACAAAACAGGAAAATGCATACCAGCAACCAGATTCCCACCGTATTTTTCTTTGTATTTAACATATAGTGTAACATATAACATGATACAACTGTTGATGTAACTGATAAAGGGGACATGCTGCCAGCTTTAAGAGAGGGTGATGGCATCTCGCGCTGTATTACGACACCATACAAACACCAAAACTGACTTGGGAAGACGCACAGAGAAAGAGATGAAGGTTTCAAAAATATGTCCTCACCCTGCATCTGGTAACTGTAGGGGGCCTGTCCTGTCTGCGGCGTGGTGAAGCCGGAGCTGTAGCTTAGGAAGCCCGTCTGTCCAGGGGACTGGGATTGGCTCAGACCCCCTTCTGTCTTTATGCCTGCCCACAATGGACCTAAATCAGTTAGTGACACCAGATCGGTTTGATGCACACACAACAGTCAACAAACAGGTTTAAATTACACTGGACACAGCAAAGGGACACAGCCTCTGTCTGTTAGCATAACACACTAATCACAATGGACGAGCGCTGATTATCTGATTAAAGGTTTTTACTATCACCAGTTGTTTAGAAATATTATCTCGCACTGGCTTCTGTCTCACTGCAAAGGAGTTGGCTGTAAAACCAAAAAGCATGTTAGGACTATGATTGTTTGATTTTATGTTATCATTAGTATTATTATTATTATCATCTAAGATAGGTCATCTGTGAAAAGATGCACAACAAGTAATAAAACATTCTGCTTGTGTTTGTGAGCTAAACTGGCCACTGCTTACACTGAATCAGTCACGATGCAGTTCCTATGCAGCAGTAGGTTGCAGGACTCCATTCAAATAAACAGTGTAAATTCCTCCACATATTGGAGAGTTTTTTGGGGTCGAAACACTCTAAAGACTTTGGACAAATAAAGCCTTCAGTGAGCCATGTCCTCTGTGCTTTCTCTTGCAATGCCAGAGGAAACCAGTTTTTGTTTTCAGATTTTTATCTCTAATCTTTCACATCTATCTGAACAGCTTGACAAGCAAATTCTGTTTTATTGCAATGAAGGAGAATATGCAGGCACTAAACAACAACTCAGCATCTCTGCTGCTCTTGCTTTACTGGAGGAATTGTGGGAACATGGTTTGTTATGAGCAAGGTCTTGGTCCTGACCTTTGGGAAGGAAAAAAATATTTAGTTGTAGTGTTCTCCCCCTATGCATGTATACAATACATTAAAATGATTAACATGCATCTTTTAGCAAGACAAGAAGTTATGGTGTGCAACACAGAAAACTTACCATAGGCTGGGATGCCATAGGGCTGGCCAGGCTGGGGGTAGCTAGCATAAGCTGCGGCCTGCTGCATTCCTGTGGTGTACTGCGTCTGCCCATACGCAGCCATATTTTGGGATGAAGGGGTAGGAAGAATATGCGGATATGTTCTGCTATTTAAGAAAAGAAACAAAAGGCAAGAGTGAGAAAGGAAGGGAGAAAGAAAAGGGACCATGTTTTACCCCTAAAACCATAACACAAACTTTGCTAACTGACAAATTCCTTGTGATTGTGCTACTTCATTTTAAACACGGAGCCAAGCTGTAAGACAGATAGCATCACACAGCTCATATACATAGTGAAAGAACAATAAATGGCAAAGGAAATTTTTGCAAGATAATAATTACAACAGATTTCAGAGTGCACAAGCTGCAGACATCCAGGCAAACAAAGCCAGTCGAAAACCCCCGATCTAGCAGAAGGATCTAATTAAAGATCCAAATGAAGTTGGATGCTGCTTATTTTTTAAAGAAAAATAAAAGAAGCCTTACTTGGAAGGGTAAATCTGTGGAGAGAACTGGTGAGTTTGTCTTGGGCTGAAGCCACTGGTTCCAATAGCTGAGGAGAGTTAAAAAGAAAAGAGGCAAGCACATATTTAAACATTAAGAAATAAGGTAAATATTATCTTTTGCCAACAGAACTTCTGGAATCCAAGGAAACAGTAATTACATTGCATTACTCTATTTATTTCGGTAACCTTATTTAAGATTGAAAACCGGAGAGCAATAATGAAGGAAAATAATCAGGTAAGAACATCAGGTTTTTCTGCTGACCCACGTATCTCTGAGATACTTCTGGGCTGCTATGACGACCACTGGTGTAAACACACACAGGATGGTCTGAATCAGTCTCGGCCTGTAGCTTCAGTTGCCTTGGGCCTTTCAAGCCACAACCACATTGGAAGTGACACCGCTGATTGCAGGTAATGAGTGCTACTGCATAATCAGTCCTTCATTAAGCGTACGACTATGTGGTTCCACGCTGCTGTTAACTTGTGAGAGCTCAGCCACACATAACTCACAGAAGTACACTTGTTTTGAATCTGAACCAAGAATTATACAGCATACACAGTGGGCTTTTTGAATCGTCACTGTTTTAAAGTAACACCTCAAATAAACGCTTATCAATAGGAAAATGTACATTTATATTAGTGTTGTAGGAGATGTTACCTGCCAGCTTTGGTTTTGGAAAAAAAGTAAAATAAATAAAATCCAAACTAAATTAACAAGAGATCAAGCCTGCAAGACTTCAGTTAACAAGTTGACAGTTGTACTTAAAAAGTACCATTATTAGTTTTATTTGAATTATTTTTTTTAAATTGTAGACATAATTTATTGCAAATTAATATCTACATTTGGAATAAAACAAGAAATGGACTTTAATAAATGAATAACATTTCAACTAAATTCACTCAAACATCAGCACAATAGAGGCAACAATCACAGTTCTGCTGGATTACTTGCATTTAACTGCACAGTTCTGAAACATCTGTCTAATTGGTCGTGACATGTAAAATAAGGGATTTGGTTGCGGGGGAGCGCTAACTGTATGTAACTGTATGCTGTAACCCCTCACACACGTTATTAATATTGAACACTTTTCCCACATCAGCAGCACCTGCCACTGGACAAAACCTGCTCTTCTGAACGGAGCTTTGGGTTTCCCCTGTGGAGGATATGGGGTATAAGATTACTAAATTTCATTAATATTGTCAGAGACAAAAGTCATAGCAGTGATTTATGCGCTTCTAGCGTTAAGTATCAAGTACTTAGTTAAACAGTTAAGGAAATACAGGAAAATTAGCAGCAAGATAAAACCACACACAGTTAGATGCAGTTCTATAATACATGTTTACAGAAAATATAAGAGAGTGCTGCAGCTTGAAATAGATACTGGTGAGGGTGGAAAAAAGAAATAAGCAAAAAAATTATCACATTAGTGATTATTTCTGTTACAATCCCTACAATGCTCATTATACTCTGAGGTCTTGGTTTTATTTAGCAATGCCCCTGTGCGTGTGTTTGTGTGTGTGTGTGTGTGTGTGTGTGTGTGTGTGTATGATGTTCCCGTGCTGAGAGGAGGGTGTGAAAACCCTGGCTCTGACAGGGCGATAGGGTAACAGCCCGTGGAGAGCGAGGGCCACTGGGACGCCATGTCACTCCACTGGACAGACAGGCTCAGTGCATTACAGGTCATAATTCAGTCCTCACTGGCATGGGAACCAGCAGTGCTAACACACACACACACACACGCACGCACGCACGCACGCACACACACACACACACACACACACACACACACACACACACACACACACACACACACACACACACACACACACACACACACACACACACACACACACGCACGTGCAAGCAAAGCATATAAATATGCTGACAAAGGTAAGGTAAGAGTCGCTTGTTCTTAAATACACACACACACACACACACACACACACACACACACACACACACACACACACACACACACACACACACACACACACACACACACCATAAAGGTGTTTTAGCTGCAGGGACACTTCCTAGGGCCCAGCTTATCAGTCACCCATCTATAGGCTCATCTCTCACTAATCAGTTCTGCAGCTGTGTGTGTGTGTGTGAGAGAGAGAGGCAGCCAGATACATGAGTGCACACACGCACAGACTCACACAAACACAACCTCCTCCAACCTCACCTGATCCTGAGAAGCTGTCTAGAGAGGTGTCTGCTACCGAGGTGGCGATTTCGCTGCTGCTCATTGGCTCGGTTTTAACTGCAAACAAAGAAGCCACATTGTCACCAAAAGCACCAAATCAAGTCTGGAAAAACAAAACAAAAAAAAAAACAAAGATCATATTAATGTCTAACTTCCTCAGACTTTCAATGCTCACATTCAGCATATCATGTTTTGAAAATACAGCAAAAAGTTGCTTGGTATAATATAAAAAGAGAACTTCAGAGGGAGGAAGGACTCATTCTAACATAATTTACAATAATTCAAATGTATTATTAACACATTGCACATTACATTTGTGTCTGTTCAAATGGTTATAGGTATATTTTTTATTGTATTGTATTATTGTATTAATCATTGATTCTTTTTGATGGGATTTATCTGATGGTACACGTTTATCTTTACCGCTGATTCTTATTGTTCCACCTGGAGAAATGCATTTTACATTTAGAAGTGTGCTTGAGCTATTTCCTTATGTAAAGATTATGAATTTATATTTTAAATGCATTTTAACTATTTTGCGGGAGTAATATAAATTTAAATGTATTTTAACAGTATATTTAATTGATCCAAAAATACTCAAGTCTTATATTATCAGTTACATTTAATAATAAACTACTGGCTTATCAGCAGTTACATGTAGCATGAATCATGAATAAAAAAAGAGCTCCGCAGGGATGTACAAGTACAATTGAAATGTCAAGGAAATGTACGGTGTATAAAATCTTTTTAAGAGTGTAGCGAACGCTGTTTGACCTTGGCTCCATTATACAGCTCAGCGATAGATCTGCAAAGACAATTTCACAGCTTTCTGACAGCTCAGGAATCTTTGAAATCAATCCATTTCACTTCAGGCGAGCTGCAGGATTTTTTTCTTTCTTTTTTTTTTTTTCTTCTTTTGGCAAAACAAATTGACAATGTGGGCAAGGGAGTCATGCTCAGTGGAATCCCTCATGGTTGAAGAAGCCATTTGCTGTCATGTTTTACATGTTTCCGCTATGCTTGTTCAGTGCAGAAACACATGTTGACGAGGGGCAATTCTTTTGAGCAACACACCGATGAAAAAATAGTGGTAAGGTGCATGCATAAACTAGCACACACTAAGGTCACAGAGCACACAATAACCACTGTATTCAGGAAACAGCATGGAACGTCCAAATGAAAACAAAATGCACAGTATGCACGTTCACAATCTGACCATTCACTAACAATGGACTTAAATCTAGTCGGTGTCAAACCATGCTTGAAACAAAATACCACAACAATTACAGCAAATACCAGGGGGTTTCCAAATGAAAGGCACAATAGTTGAGGCAACGTTATAATTTTGCAGCTGATAAATAGTTTATTTTTGGGAACAAATTAAATTTCTTCATGAGTGAAGGTGGTTCAAAAACTACAAAGAGTACTTTCATTTCATTCTCAGTTGAGTTGGGAAAAAACACCAAGTATTGTCCTTTCATTGTGTCACTAAGAGTAGACAAACCTGCAGCGGACTGTGAGTTAGAACCTAACAACCAGTCTGCAGTGGTAAGCATTGTGATGTTATCACCTATGGGAAAGAAAGAATGGCAAAGGCACACATGACAGTCTGTACCATGTCTACGGGTCCTGTGTCATGAATACACAAAAAAATCAACCCTGAGCTCAAAGCAAATATTAAGCTGAAGATTACGTGACGGGAGATTTTTTTAATAACTCCTGTGCATGACTGCTTCACTAAACAAAGGCTCAGATTTAAGCACAGGTGAATCACCTGAGTAAATAACTATGTACAGTGGAAACTTCATGCAAAACTCCATCATTTCCATGCTGTGGGCTTTGAATAATTACATGGTTACTTGAATAAACAACTAATAGTCGCTGTGAAACAACTACTGGTAGCACTGAATTGTTTAAACTAGGAATGCTATGGCAATAGTCTGTATGGTCCAAAATAATCTACAGTCCAACCCACAATTATGCACTTTTTTAGCACTTCTATTAACTTTATTGCTAACTACACTGAATTACTTTAAGATTAAAAGTTCAACTTCACATTGAATGTTACAATACAGTTTCTATCACCATTCTCAGCCCTTTTTAAAATGTAGAATAGAATACAAGACAGAGAGAACAATCAAAGAGCAACAGCATACACATACCTTCAGTGCCATTGGGTGTCATGGAATTGTTATTGATGTGGGAGTTGTCGAGGTTGGGACCATTAGGAGATTCACTGCTTCCACTTACTCGGCTGTGAGGACTGGCTAGATCCTGCATTTCCATAGACCTGACGAGAGACACACACACACACACACACACACACACACACACACACACATAAATGCACACACCAAATCAAATTACCCATATCACTCTGGTTTCAGGGAAGACACATAGCTCTGATATATAATGCAGCGTACACAATGTGCATAATCCAGCAGTCCAGGTTTAGCTGAATAAAATAGTGACGATAATACAAAGTAAAAAAAAACAAAAACAAAAGTATTATAAATGAGTTGCTCAGTAGTAAAATATTATATTAAAATTACATTTAAAATCTACAATTCATTGCAATTTTACTAAGGACTACTTTTCACATTATATTTTCCATTATAAATAAAATAATGACATTTGAATGTAATGTCAAATGACAAGGACACAATTAACGGATCAAAATGGAAGAATTGTACAAGGCAAAATGTTACACAAGCAAACACACACACACACCTCTCTCTCATATACTGTATGCACAGAGAAAAGAAAAGTGGAACTGCGAGCTATGAAATGAATACTTAACATTTTGACATGATGTTTCTGATTTCTCTCATTACAACAATCTCACTGCAACTTGTTGTTTTACACGACGCGAACAGAAAGTGTTTACTGTCAATTTACTCCGATGTATCTTAAAGCAAAAATGGCCTTAAGTGTGTATCGTTTTGTGTGGTATCTAAGACTGTTAACAGATGTTTGCTGGTTTGAGGCGATGCTTAATGTGCCTGTTAAAAGTGCAGCACTTGATTGTAAGAGCCCATGCCTCAGTGATGGGCAGATGAGAAGCTCATGAGGCATGTGTTTGCTCTGGCAAGCTCCTTAATTGTTTCTGTGTTTATACAAAAGACCACGCCACTGAAAACATTATTCTATCTTCTCATTTGTGCGCTCAAAGGATTTGATCGAGTATAGACAATAGAGCAGAGAGAAGGCACGAGTGATTTGAAAAGTACGGCCACAAACTCCAGACTCCATTTGTCTCTGCCACTGTTCCCATTGCAATAGTAAGTTAATGAAATTAGGACAAAATGTTTTGTACATTATACTGTCATTTCCAATTATATTCCAGGACTCTGGGTATCTCTGCTATCGATACACATCGGCCTTTTACACAAGGCCACAAAGATAAATGCTCAAGTAACTCTGAGTAGTCTGAGTGCTATCAGATGGCACGAAGAAACCAGAATTATGAGATAAAAAGATTAAATTATGATATGCATTTACTCTATTTACGATGATTTTATATTGTTATGATATTATGATATTTTGCCGTATAGCTCGGAAAATAGAGTCCTTTCTTGTGGTTCAAGTCCAATTTAATTGTTAATGAAAAAATATATATTTACAAACAGAAAAAGACGAACATATAAATTATAAAAAAATATGAATGATAAAAAACAACAATGAAAAGGCTAAGTCAGTCTTCATCACACACACTCCAATAATGCAAGCTGCATTGTCCTTTTCCCAGAAGAATATTCATTTACTTCTCCCCTAAAAATATCACACCCTCCAAGCATACAACAACACAGAGGTACAAATATAAGCACATTAAGGATCGTCTAAAATAAACTAATCCTATTACTACATTTCACACTCACTACTTAATCCTGCTCTCTCCTCCTTTGCCCAAACTTTTTTTCTCATTAGGTGATGGCTAAAGAGCTTTCGATACCTCAAATCAGACACACACAAAAGAGAAGCTGACAGTTGTTTAGCAGAGTGTCTAAGGCAATCTCTGATGCCGCGCAGAGAGCTACATGTCTCTGATGCTGCTGGCACTGGCTCAACTGTGCTCTTACCTGGACCTAGATGGCTTTGAGTCCTCACAAACCACACTCCCTTTCTGTATTCTGCCTCCACCTGCCCCAAGCAGAAACAATGTCACTCCTTGTTATTGCAGCTCGATGTCACAGTCCAGAGCCATCCACGACACAAAAAGGCTTGTCTGAGAAAACATTATTGTGATTCTGGAGCAGAATGGGAAGAGAGGGCTCGCGGGGGAACAGAGGCGCACATTGTCTCTCTCCGAGCCGCAGCCCTACTCCACTGTTGTTTCCTCCTCCAGGTCCTCCCTCCTCCCTGAGCAAGGGGAGCACAGCCAAATGACGGAAAGGTGATTCATCATTGGTCTACGACAGCTGCAAACTGGATTAGCCCTCCCCCAATCAACATGCAAAGCGGCTTAGCCAAGGTAAGCAGGAAGGGGTGGGGGGTTGTGGGGGTGAAGGTAGGCAGAGGGGTGAGGGGTTGGGGAGAGCAGGGGCTGGGGGGCAGCAGAGGGTGGGAGAGCCAGCCCGCTTTCCTGCCTGAGGTAGCCTGCTGCTGGAAGGAAGATGGGACTTGTTGAGCAAAGACAAGTCAAGCGTGACACCCCTAGCATCTTCAGCAGATCTTTCATCTGCAATTGACACTATCTGAAATTTATCAGCACTCCCCCTCTTGGCATACTGACAGGTCCTAATGACCGTCAGCGCTGCTTCCCGCGGGCCTGCCCCAGCCTGGGGCCACGGCACAGCACAGAAATACACAACTTCCTAACTTCACAGCCTACAGAAAGGCAGAAAGAGGACAGTATATACAGTCACACAGACATTATATAAATCTTTTCTTTCTCTTTGGCAACACAAAAACTCATGCGTCTTTTTAGTTTTTTTTAAAAAATGTCTTCTTCTTTAGCACACAGAGATACATAACTCATGCCTGTATGTCTGCATGTGTACACACACATACACACTTGTGCACAGGGCACTTCAGAGGCCCCCAGCTCAGTGGTGCAAATGCACACACACACACACACACACACACATATACATATATATATATACACACACTCACACATGCAGGGCACTTTAGAGGCCCCCAGATCAGTGGTGCATCTCAGACAATGAACGAGACTGGAAACAAGAACATGGAGAGCATATGGAGCCACATATGTTTCCTATGACGCTACGAATGCCTCTATTACTCTCCTTTAGCTGACAGTTACATTTTGCTGTCCACTCCCGCTCTGCTCGTCTCTCTCCAAACATCAAGCAGAGCCATATACTTGCATGGCTATAACACTATATTAGACCTGACTCCAGCCCACCATGGGAATACAGGGTCCAAAAAAGGGTCAAAGGTATTCAACTGGTCAGGAAAAAGGAAAAAGACATGCAAAGTCTTTTTTCAAAAATCCTGGCATGATTTTTTAATGGCTGACTGTTTACATGAGCCAGGGTAACCTGAGCTGCATGGTCTTAAGTTTTTTTCTTCTTCTTTTTCAACAGGCTTTGCTCTTCACACCAAGGCATGAATACCATTCCAGCTTTACAATTTGCCAACTCCCTCACTGCTTATGGTACAGCCATCTTAGCAAAAAACCCATTATATTTCATTCTCACTTTAGGAGCTACGGACAACAGCAGTGCCTCCTCCTGGCATTTCCCAATACTAAAATATGCAGAGGGGGTGTAAAAAAATACAAAAATATCAATGGAAAAGAAAGTCGACAGAGGTAAAAGCCATAAAGACGAAAGAGAAACACATTTTGCCACAGCACATTAACAGCGATCACAGAGTTGGGGGAAGTGGTGGGGAGATGTGGTGTGTGTGTGTGAGTCTGTGTGTGTGTGTGTGTGTGTGTGTGTGTGGTAGCTGGTTTCTGTGTTCAGCAGAGCAGGCCAATGAAGCCATTACCATGCTGGTGTCTCAGCCATTGCCAGCAGGTGAAACCGGCCAGGTGAACAGAGTGGGGGAGATGGGAGAGGGGAGAAGGGAGGGGGCAGGGATTTAAAAGCAAACCTTTCTTCTGCGCCGCTAAATATTTATTGTTTAAAAAAAAGGGCTGCATTCAGCATCTTTGATGTGCTTCTTAGTTCAACCTGAACTGCCAGGTCTTTGAAGCTAACAAGAACAAAGCCAGACTAGATGAAGAGCTGGAAGTGTCATCAAGAGGGGAAAAAAAAGAAGTGCCACAACACGCTTCACTCACGGTTGTTTGCTGGCCCTTTTGTTTCGCTTTACTTATTTCAAGACCTGCGTTTCCAAAGGTAAACATAGCCACAGCCAAGCTTTTAGCATAGATCACCTCAGCATGCAGGCTGTCTGACCCGACACAAATCGTTTCTTCACCTTTGTTACATATTTTGTTACTATTAAGCCAATAGTTACCAAATTTATATGGAAGGTGTTATATCACCTGCAAACTGATTTGTTTAAAAGTATTTACGCATATTACATTTTACTGTTGGAAATAAAAGAAAATGCTTTGTTTGTTTCTGTTCTCCACTCCCTGTGTCATCCTTAATAGACATTCATTTTATAGGGTATAGTCCTTTGAATTTTACAGTCTATGTAAGCCATGTGTTGTGAGTTACAACTTTTGAAAAACAATGCTTTAATCAAAATCTAACTTTAAAACAACTAATCCCCACTTAAGCTGGTCAGCTGAATCCACATGGTGGCCCAGGAAAAATAAATCCACTCTCAAAGAATGTAGATGCAGACAACAATTGGACACAGATGTGAGTGGAATTAGGCACAGTTTACAAAATGCTACACTTCACTTGTGTCTCTATACGTGGCCGAAAAAAATGACGGCTGCCAACAAATGCCTCCTCAAAAGTGTTGTATTCTAGATAAGACAGGCATCACACATTTGAAATAAAATGGATGGACATTTGAAAGTGTTTGGTGGTGTAATTCTGAACAATGATGGCACTTTTCTAAACCTCTTTTCTGTTTGTATAAATTAATTTTAACCGCACTAAAGAAATTATAAAAATATACGTTTAAACCAAAACCTTTTCAATTAAAATAACATGAAATAATACTTTTTTCTTTTTATATTCCATTAACATTTATTTATAAAGATGCACAATACTGGCCTGCACTTAGTACACATATGAGACCTACGGCAACAAATTCTAAAAGCACACAATGCTTCACACACAATTCATTTTTTTTTTTTACTTATCTGTAATTAATAGCACAATTATTAACACATGCTGTTTGTTGAGGTGCAATTTGTCCCTCTCATTTGGTTCAATCTGACATGGTGTGCTCCAATGCAATTCTCTCAATAGCTACATTAAATCTGTTAATACAGTGCTCTTCAACCTTCAAAATTATTTCCAGAAGGCCAGTTCGCCTTTGAGGGGCCATCAAACAAGATTTAAGGTGCACATTTTATCACAACCTGCCTACCACCGTGACCACCGCAGAACGAGAAAGGCTTTACACACAAAGATGAAAGAAAGTCCAGTGACAAATCTTAACGATTATATCACTTTAATGCCTGAGGCTTGTTATTCTAATTCTCTCAAACGTGAGACAGTGATCTATTATGTTAATGAAATTATTATCTGCTCAGGATAGGAAGCAGAGGATTTTCTAGAAGTCTTTAGCTAATATCACACGACGTTGCAGAAGGTCATAAAGTAGCAGTTTTAAATTTTTAAAAGCAAATAGTGTTATATGATCTGCACAGAGGCACATTTGAAGTACAATGCAATCTCTTAGAATACAATTTCTGTTTAGACTTTCAACTCAGCCGCTTCCTTTTTTAGTGTGCGCAACGTAAACATATTGCCATTTACAAACAAACACAAAAGTGGGTGATAGTGATTGAGGACCTGTAATGGCAATCAACAGAAATCTTTAAAGTTCATTTCCTGTTCTTTCAGGCACATATTCCCGATCCAAACAGTGGCGTGTTAACAAAATAACACCCTACGGTATTTAGTAAACAACCCCTGCCCACTAATCACCCAGTATGGGCTACTTAATAGGAGGTCCCCTATTTCCTATTTCTTTCTCTCGCGCCCTCTTCCCCCTCTCCTTCTTCCTCACAAATAGCTGCATCAGTGAGGCTGGATCAATTATCCCTCTGTGTCTTTCACCATTTTCAATCTCCTCTTTGAGAGAAGAGGACAAGGGTTCGGCCGGCTAGACGGAAGGCATCAGGCCTTGGGCAAACAATGCCACTGCCACCGCCGACCACTCCTGCTTGTGCACACTGCTGCTGCACTCCGCAGCCAGGCAGAGAGCCCTCGATCTCTCCCTGCGTAAAGCAAATACACAGTGTAAACAGCCTCAAATCAGCCTGCTCATTATCTGTTAATTGGATAAATAAGGTTATTGTGTGAGTGAATGGTCGCAGCAGGCGGTCACACACACTGTCATGTTTGTCTACACAGAGCGGAGTCCACTCTGCAAGCAGTCTGGCTCACTAGCCTATCCTAACCTCTCTATTTCCTCTCTTTCATCTGCTAACACACACCTTTCTAAACACAGAAAAAGGGCAGGCGTTTGGAAATTATAGGAATTAGAGGATGAAAAAGAAAAGAGGAAAAAGGCACAATTTGATAGAGATGAAATGTCCTTCACACACAAACACACACACATAATAATTCCCTGACTTGTGATGTAAGCCTGTGATCATACACAGAACATTAAACCAGAACATCCTTCAATTAGAGAGACTAGTGATTACAGCGGGTGAGTCATCTTTACTACACGTGAAATACTGGCGAGCGGAGACGCAGCACGGCCGGGAGTCGAGGCCTGTTGTCTTGGTCAGACGCTGAGAGGCTCTCAGGTCTCCTCGCAGCATTCCTGGCCTCAGCAGATGGCATTGGATGTCAACTGCTTTAACTGTGTTGGTTTTGTTTGTTCTGCCAGTCAAAAAGGGACTCCTGCAGGGACCAGCACGTTTTCCTTGCCTGATCAAAAATGTAAACTGGGCCAAGCAGAAGAGGATCCCATATTTCAAAGGGCAATTTTGGGATGTATTTGCAGCTTGGATGTGAGTTATCATGCTCCTACAGCTGACTGTTTTGCAATTTAAAAATTATTTTGAACTAAGAGTAGAGAAAAACTATAGGTCATAATTTTTGAAATGGAGATTTTAGGGGACATTTTTCTTCCAATTTCATTTATAATTACAGACAAATTGAACTGTTAAATTTCTAAAAATTCTGGACATACTGTATGTATTATAAAAACAGAATATCAGAGTAAGATTTTTAGCTATTATCAAATGTACTGTAATATACTATAAATTGTTATTTAAATATCATGTTACATTTTTAAATTCACTTCTTTATCGTGTTATGAGCTGCATTTACTTTCACTTAAATTAAAATTAAAGATTCATCCAGAGCAATTGTTTTTTCTTGGCAATTCATCTACCATCATCAATGAATTACAGCTGACCTGTGAAGATTAAAGCCTTCCTCTTTGGTTTATATTATTAACATTATTATACATTTTTGAATCGCTCTACAATAATGCACTTCTTACAATAATAAAGACGTAGATAGTACTATTTTGAACCACCACAATTAATGAAAAGGTTTGTGCATAAATCAAATTTTTACTCCCACAGCTCCATTAAATAATAAATGCTTTAATTGGGAATTATATGCTAGATTGAATGCTGATGCAAGTTTTATCAAATAAAGCAGATAATTCCACACACACACACACACACACACACACACACACACACACACACACACACACTGAAATAGTAAAAAAAAATCAGACATGGCAAGAGAAGACAGTCAACATCTCAAACATCAAGTAGAAATTAAAATCATACTCACTACAATTATGGTTGAATCCCTGTGTGTTTATCCCTTCTTTAAAAAAAAATCTTCTACAGAAAGATCGTTCAGTCCAGCAGAACGGACAACAAGCTTTCTAAAACTGTTCTTCAGGTGTTGGTAGAATCTGTAGCACAATAAATGTAAACTACAAGACTACTTTTTTCTTTTTCATTTTAGGTGTTGGAACCCATGGAGCCCCGCACGGTATCTCAGGAGACCCAGTCCTAGTGAGAAAGAGAGTTGTCCGATTACTGCTTCAGGCAGTGACTAGTGAGTGTCTGAGGAAGAGGGAAAAAAAGAGAGAGAGTGAGAGAGCGAGGGAGAGGGAGGGAGGGAGGGAGAAAGGCAGTGAATGAGGGAGGGAGAGAGGGAGGCTGCTGCCGTTTGAAAAAGCAGAAAAGTTGCTTGGTGCTCTCTCACAGGAAGACTTTGGGTCTGGAGGAGGCACAGGGGAGTTGCGCCTCACACCAGCTCCCCATATGTCATTCACTCACAGCTTTAAGCAATACAGCCCTCTCCAGATTGTATCAGTGGAGACTAAGACAATGAAATGGCAGATCTCTCCATTGGCCTGCCTGTCCACTGGAACACCAGGCTCCGCTCACACACCCCAAGGGCCCTCACTTTTTTTTCTACCCCCGTTTCTCTCTTGTTTTTGTTATGCTCTGTTTTTAACCACAAACCACTTTTTTTTTTGCTCTCTCTTGTGAGTCTTAGGTCGCTGCTGGCTTTCTCTTTGTCACAGAGGGATCTTCAGAGGGTAAACAAGGGTTTAGGTCATTAGCTTAGGTGATGGGGAGCCGGAGGTTCAACAGCAGGCCCGAGCGGCTTGGCTCTGTCCGTCTCCACAGCAGTCTAGTGGAAGTCCTCCGTCAACACATACACGCCGCGTCTGTGTGCAAGGTAATGACTGCCTTCTGTCTGCTCCAGGTTATTATTTCAACTGTGCGAAGCTACTACACAAGGCCACGCTGCTACTGATGAGCTCAAACTGGTGATTTATTCAAGCTGGTGATGAGGCTTGTACAGCTTTTTCTTCTATATGTCATACCATATTTTCTTTCCAAGAATATCAGTTCTGTGTAATGAATGGTTGAAAGGTCAATGGGCCATTTAAAATTTGTTTAATTTCCACATAATAAAACTGTGGGTGAAATACCAACTGTAATACTGAAAAATGATTACCAAGAAAGAGGAAATCATACATTTACTATGGTAAAGAGGTGTTGAGAGAAGAAGAACACCCACGGCTAGAAGAATAGTATACTGTGTTAGCTGTGTTCCTCTGTATGCACTGCTTGTGCGTCTATGTTACCTATTAGTCAGTGGCTGACAATAAAAAATTAAACAGGTGTTGTGAGTCACTGAAAGAGCATATACAAATCTTTTGTTAATCATATTGCATGTCATGTTGTTTGAATCAAAAAAGAACTGATGAATGAATTTCTACTTGATCAGCTACAGACTTCACAACTCAATACCAACCATCCTCTGTAGCAGTAGTCAACGAGTAGCTGACAGGAATAGATCCGAGCTGCACTGCTGCTGATTTAAATACACTGCAGTAATGAGGTGGACGTGCTGGAACTGCAAGTGCTACCTCCTGCTACAAACCAACTGCCCACAGGTAAATCTATAGGCTCACGTTTCAATATTGGAGCATGAAATATATTGCACATTGAACAGGTTTTTGATAACTCAATTGACTAATAGATGCTTGGGGACTCTCAAGTAACTATTTCTAATAGCGAAGGGGTACACATGCCAATTGAGTTACTACATTTACTCTACTTTACTCTCTCTATTTCAATAAGCAGCTGTATAAAATTAGCTTGAGATGTAATTTTGCAAGTGAGTTATTTTCAAATTGCACAGTATAATTATCCAGAGTTGTTTATGTCTCAACGACTAAACTCAGATTTTCCTTGTACTCTCACAGCATACAGCGCTGTATGGTATGTTTTGAATCAAGGCTCCAATCAACCTAGCAGTTTTACTGGTGATATTTAGTGATTGCTATTTTCACGTTCCAAAGTATTGAATGAAAGACTGTTAAATGCAAATAATCTAATGTAACAGCTAGGTTAAACTTTTGAATTTAAGAGTTGAGTTTGAGACTGATTGTTTCCCTTCTGAAGAAAAATATTTACGTATATAAAATATTATAGTTTAACATAAGAAAACCTCATTAGATGCATACATTTTCTGCAACTATACAAACTTAGCCTAATAGAACCTTCTACATCTGCCAAATGGAAGCTTAACAAAAGATTCACTGATACTGTTCAACTGACATCAGCGCTAAAATGCCACTTGCCAAAAACTATATCAAGTAAGAAATTTGAGAAGTGAGCTAAGATTAAATGTGAAGCCGTTCTTTATTAAGGATTATCTTGATGGGACTCAATGGTCTTCATGTGGGGTTGCAGGGATGCCTGCCTGCAATTTAGAGTGAAGAGAGATCTGCACTGTCCTCCACTGCCAACAGGTTATCCACTCAGCTTCTCACACACATGGAAATAGACTCACTTCCAAATGGCTGATTCCATTTTCGAGATAAGGAACGGAGGGTTAATGTACATCTAACTGGAATCCTAGTACTTGGAAAGTTTTAGATCCTGTACTGTGGTGAGTTTTTCCCTCTGTTGTTCCACAAAAGAGAACATCTCGGTAGATTGAGTTTACTTATCCTGACAAAGAATACATAAACAGTGTGAAAGGTGCGGGAACGGTATGACACGGGATCAAATGATACAGATGAAACGAAATGCTAACACCCTGGTGACATAGTTGCAATATTTTCATATGCATATGCTGCAAATTTGTTTTGGTAGAACTACTACAGTGTTTATACAATGTCACACATTGGAGAGATCAAGTTCCTTTTTTGACATAAGTCTCAGCAGAACATTACACCCCAAACCTCCCCCAAGAAGGGAAATCTGAACTTGGGATAACTTTGGATAAAATAACAGTTTTTATATATTTATACAGGCATTACTAGGTGAAGTGTTCACCTATTGACTAAGGAGAAAATACAAAAAACTTAACTACACAAACCTCCCACCCACCAGCCTTGCCCCTGACACAAGTGGGACATTAAGTTTGCTGGATGGCAATTTGTCAAAGAGCTCTGTAAGTGCTAGGTACTGGATATTCCTGAGTTATTCAATGTGCATAGTTTCCTGTTCAAAATAACCGAGCAGCACAGAGTGACATATCCTTGGTAAAGCAAAGCAGCACTGATGACCAAGGGAAATTCAAGATCATTTTCAATACTATTCCATTCCTCCTCTGTTCCCACTGCTTGTGTTTTCATGTGAACTCTGTAATACTAACATAAAAGCAACCTGCATAGCAACAATGACAGCTGAAGCAATCAAAGCAAAAACAAAAAGGAACCAACATAATTTTGAGGCCCAAAAAACATGTTACCTTGAGGTTAAGCTGTCTTAAAGTATATAACATTAACCCATCTATCTACCAGGCTTTCATTAAACTCTAAAGAAAAACTTTGATGATGACAAGTTGCTACCACAAAAAAGATTTTGACAGTGCAGACAGATAATTTTGAAGTCCCTAAAGGTAAATTAGTAGCAAGTCAAGTGCTTTCAAGTGGTGAATGAAAGTTACGAGTGAAGCCCAAATTTCTTATAAACAAACATCAGGTTGGCCAGCCTCACCGAGGAGCAGTGATAAAAGTAAACACAGCATACCTCAACATGAAAATACATTGGAGCTTTCCTCCACAAAAAGCGAGGAACAAAGGAAATGGTTAACCTCAGTGGACGTCACAAACTTAATTTAACAGAGTGACCTTATTGTTGTAGCCATCTTGGTTCCAAACAAAACACAAAGAGAACATGCTTGAATTAAGTAAAATGCCAATTTTTATGTTATATAAAATATAGCAAGCACATTTCAGCTCGGGAAGTCTCTTAAAAAGCACTTAAAATGTTTTCAAAAGTCATTTCTAAATGTTGTTTGTGTTGTGTTAAAAATCCCACTGCATAATAACTAGTATTTGGTTAAAAAACACTCAGCGGACACATTTATCCATGCATATACCACGAGAGACAAGTTGTACTTTATGACCAGTGAGGCACACCTGGGGAAAGTCTACGAGGACCCCGAAAATCCTCAGACAGACACTTTATTGCTCTCCAATGGCCCCAAAAAAGCCAAACAAGCACACTTTAGAGACCTATTACTCAGATGGAGACATCACTATGGCTGGAAGTATCACCGCGGGCATTACGCTTAAAATATATAGCCTGTTAAAAGATAAAGAGAATAATAAGACTAAAATCAGCCTAATAAGTCACAAAATGGTTTGTTTAATGTATTTCTAGATTTATGTCTTCCATAGAAGTAGTATAAACAATTCATCAAAATCTTTAAGGCAAAAATGCAGAATATCTTTATTATCAGATTTAACAACTAGTCATCAATACTTGTCCAAGAGGTTTGCAGTTTTTTGGGGGGCACAATTGGTGAGTTTGATTGAGTATTAAGAGCTAAGCCAAAATTGTTCAAATCCACTGAATCAGGAGATTTTGATTGTGGCAACGGCTGCGCTCACAGATGCTGCTAGGTACGCCAGCTCCTTCGGACCTCTCTGCTTTTGTTTTAATCTGTTTTTGGCTTTATTACTAAAACCAGCCAGATCAACCGGACGGGACCAGCCCCTCAACAAGAGGAGAGGAAAGAGAGCAGGGATAGGATTAAGCGGGTTAGGGTTAGGGTTAGGGTTAGATGCACAAAAGATGCGCTGCAGAATCATTTCCTGGGTCTATACGTGTATGTATATATGTATAAAAATGATTGTATAAACTATTTAATTACATTCCTTTATGTTATTCTATAAATTAAATAATTTTTTTCTATGTGTGTAGCGAACTCTTGTGTTGTTATACAACCTTGTGTTGTATAATGCTAAATACATTTACTTTATTCCTTGATTGCACTATTGTTCTAGATTTACACCAAACATGATTCAGATGTACAATATGGACCTTGTACAAATGCATTTGGCATTCCTTTGTGATATAAAATCCACAACCCACAAGGTAACGATCTTAAACTAAATATCTTTGATCAAGTACTATCAACTACTCATTTTTAGATTTGCTTCATTTAGAAAGGGTGCTTTTTTGTTTTGTTTTTCTTCAGTCATAAGTTGCTTTAGTCAGGCCTCAGTAGTGTGTAATCTAGTTGAATGTTGGAAGGCCCTCTGCCTCCACCAATTTTTAACAAAACAACAAAGCTTTCATACTGT